CGATCTGGGTCGCGTCTACCGCATTCGAAATTTACGGAAACAAATGAATTCGATAGGCTCTCGAAAACCTTTTTGAGTTTGACGTAATAAAAATCGAGCATTTATTGCGATATACTAACTGATAGCAGTCAAATTCGTATAAAGGCGAATAACAATTGTAAGGTTATAAGGTGACTTCTTTGACAGTATTAAAAAATTCGAACGATTCGAATTTTTACGTAAATTAATCCAAACGAAATATCGACCTTACTCACAGCTTTTGTTTTGAAATGAAAAAAAGTCAACGTTATAAAATTCCTCTTACGAGCATATTCGTTTGTACACAACAATGAGTCACGTTCCGTTCTTGTTTCGTTTTTTTGTTTTGTTTTTTTTTTTTTTTTTCCTTTTCGTTACGTTATGCCAGCTTACAGGCACGTTCGAACAGGCACACGCTAACGTAATCGAAGGGAGACTTACTACGCCACTGATAAATAACAATATTCTCTTCTCATAATGCGACTCTACTTTGTCCACCCGTCGGCGGTATCTATTCCGCGATACTAGAGCCAGAGAATCGAATCTTTTTTCAAGTAAGTCCGCTTTATTTGTCCTTGTCGAAGAACATGTTCCCGATTTTATTAGCGCATTATTTTATGGTAACTGCGATCTCTCAACGTCAAGCGTATTACATTGTACATAAGAGAACGATTTTTCATCTTTTGTATCATTGTTTTTAATATCGTTCTTTACCGCGTTAATGGAAGATAGCTCTTTCAAAGAAATCGAGGAAAATTGATCTCAACTGCGAAAGGAATATTAAAATTGTATAGCGTCTCTCGTTAACTCGCAATAAATAATTTCAAGGAATAGCAAATACTCTTGACGCTTGTATCTCCTATGTATACGCGAGAGGAAGACCAATAGAGAAGAGAAGGAAGACGTCTCTCGAAATTGCGTTTCTTTTTTCATTTTTGTTCTCCTTTTTTATTTTGATGGAAAAGAAGCGCGTTAAAACGTCTGTTTTAGGACGAAGGAACGGGTGAGTGAAATCTTATATCGTAGAAGCCGAGATAGGCGTTCTCGTAGGAACGCGTATTTCGCGGGTCAATGCACTTTGCACGTAGCGCGCCGCTATTGCATCTGGGATACATACAAAGAAGAATCCTGACTCGCGAGGATGCACTGGGATAATATAGGTATTGTATACCTATTTTCTCTCTCCCTCTCCTCGATCGACCCACTATCCTGCTTTTCTCTCTCTCTCTCTCTTTCTTTTTATTCGCATCTTTTCGTTTCTTCGTACCTTCTCCGTGTTTCGTTGTTATTCGAATGGGCCACGAATTAGCTATCGGCAAAAAATATATCATACTCGGAATAAACGGATACTTTGCCAACGAAACGAGTCGACCGCTCGAATCGATATAGAGCTAGGTAAACGCATACGTATCTATGGCTAACCTCCAACGCGAAATTCGTATCGTAAATTCGATAGCGCGCGTAGATTAAATCGTATATTAAGCCGAATAAATCGTTATGCGATTTACTCCGGAGAGCTTGGCGATTTACGGTGAGCTCGCAGTATATTTAGATTTCTAGAATATAAACTCATCGTCACCGTCACCGTCACCGTCACCGTCACCGTCACCTTCCCTTCGCCGCTCCTCTCGCTTCTACGGAGAAACCGAAGTAGATTTATCCGACGAAAGTGGATTTATCCGATTCCGTGCGAGAGATCCAGATTTGTAAGCAGCTGCGAGGATGCATATAGGGAGGAGGCCAGAGGGGTGGACGACCGACCCTATGTATCTCGTTTGACCTACTGCCCTGTTTTGCGCGTATTTTCTCTTTCTAGTTACGTACGTTTGCGCGCGCGAACGTGCACCGACACAACACGTATATAGTATATATTATAGAGAGTATATACGTATACCGGGTGACTCGCTTAACGCCCATACCTGAATTACCCACGGTTCCGGTCGTTAGAGATAAGGAGAACTCTCGAGAACGCGATACGATGTACGATATAAGTTATAATTTATGTAATCGCTATGCATGCATGCCTCTTTAGTCCCTTCTCTCTATATTCCGTAAGAAGGAGAGGATATTTTAAGGATAAAAACTAGAGACACGATTCACCCTTTATATCGTGCGACACGACTAGATCTAGACTTGTCCTCGAAAGCTTCTCGTGCGACTAGAATTTGCGTATCGTTTTGCGAGATCGTCGAGAACCCGTACGAAACTGGCCATTCCCGTTGCCTAGTTTATCGGATTGGTTAAAGGCAAAATTTGTATAAACTTGAGTCCACTGTGTGTATGCAAGAAGCGTACTCGTAGAACGCAATTGTGGTTGAATATCCCTTGGCAACTCGACCTACAAGTCCCTCTCTCTCTCTCTCTCTCTCTCGCATCAAGTAAAAGTTCGTTCCGTTTTCAAAATCGCCTCGGTTTATTCTTCATCCTCTCCTTTTCTGTGCTTTTTTAACCTTAAAGTTTTTAATCGCACTAGCCGTGCTACTTTAGCCGTCGCCTCGTGCTCTCTGCTTCGGCCTCCCTTCTCGCTTACTTCGCGTTTTTTTTCACGAGTATCACGAGTATGTCAATGAAATCGAAGTAACTATTAGACTAATTCGATGGGTTATTTACCGAAATAGCGACGTTTTCTCAATCGAGACATTTTCTTTGTTAAACGAAAATATCGATTCTATCGCGACGTCGAAGGGCCGATACTTTCGTACGAAGCAAATTCCAATCAGTTTCTCGGCAAATCGATTTCCATTTTCGCCATGACGACGATTTATTTCCCTCGCGTCCGACTACGGAAAACTACGAGGAGAAACTCAACGATTCGAAACTCTATACTTCGTTCGCTCCTACGTTTTCTTTCTCATGTCGAACGACCGAGATATTCGTTTTGCGAAAAAGAACATTTTCGAATCGGTCGATGGTTGCAACTCGATCGATCGAGACAAAATCGAGTCGCGACAAAATAGATTACGAGGAAAGAATGCGAATGATGAATTCTTCGCCGGCAGAAAGATGCTTTAACGTCGTTTACACGAGAAAGAAAAAAAAAACAAAAGAAAAAGGACAAGTGATTCTACAAATAAACAGCAGTGCAATGACCAGATATAATAGCGGTAGCCGGATAAATAATCGAAACAGTTGATCGTCAAAGTGAATATCTTGCCTTGGAAAAGAAATTATTCCGAATTAGAAATTATTTCTCTTGTTTGGGGAATGTGCAACGATACCTTTTTTCTTTTTTTTTTCCCCCGTAACTTGATCATCGAAACGGAGAGATAGGAAGAGACGGTATGAAAAGGATAACTCGGTAAACTAAAAGAAAGTAGTAGTACCCTCTTTATCCGTCATTAATGCACTTTATCGTACCTCTCCAGCAGAGGGTTTCTTTGGCATTTTCGATCGATGGAAAGGAACGAAAGTAGGGAAGAAGACTTCCAAGTGGATGGAGGGAGATCTTCTAACTCGATCGAGGACGATCGATCTTTCTGGCGGGATAATGCGCGTCTCCAAACTTGTCCGTTTTCTCTTTCCTTCTGAGAAGGAAAGGAAGAAAAGAGGGAGGACGAGGAAGCAACCGTTTGCTTCGACGGTTTACACGAGATTGCGATACTCCCTTTGGAAGTGTATAACTCTTGTCGAAGATGTCTCGTACAACGTGACCGTGCGACGTGGGACGAATTAATTTTTAAAATCGATATAAGAAATGCGGAAAACGTAGACGAGGAACAAGATTTTTTCCCTATCACGACACGGACGCGCCACTCTTATCTTCGTGTACTCGGATACGTTCAATAATCGAATCTCTTTATTCCTTTATGCGTAAACGAGTACGTGGCTCGTTAATACGACATATGTCGACCAACAGGTGGGATTATTAGTCACATAGCTTCTCGATCTCGATGATACTTTGTTTGAGGATTTTATAGTTGGGGTCCGCGTCTTTCAAGAAGAGATCCCGACTATAATGCTGATACGAACTCGTCAAAGCGCGTCAAACTTATTTCATCGACGTGTTTCACTTTTCAATTATTCTCTTTTAATAAAGTCAGAGGAAATAATATTGGATTCGTTGCTCGAACGAATCGAACGATATTTATCGTGCGTTTCTTCGATCCTCTTCTCTTGTGAAATGAAAGAAATTAAGACGAAAGGGTATTGTCAAAAAGACACATAGACGCGCAATAAGAGGTACATGTCTGTAACGATAAGAACTATAATAGTAGGAATAAGATGGAGAAAAAGAAAATAAAGCAGTATCGTGGTCTTGTAGATATTCCAGTTGGCAAGCCGCGCTAACGAGGCTGCGTCCTTAATCGCGCGCGCTCTCTCGTATTCGCCGCGAGACTAGTCGAGGGCGTCGATAAATCAGTAACGACGAGAATCACACGGTTCGCCGAACTAACGTTGTGCCGCGTCGAGGGCATTAAGACCTATTATACTACCGCGCCGAGACGAGTGACAGACGTCGCTCGAGAGAGAGAGAGAGAGAGAGAGAGAGAGAGAATGGTTGACCGTCCCTCGTCCTTGCGAACGAATCTCTTTACGCAATTGACAAATTTTCGTATCGACGCTTTGTATTTGGTTATAATTCCTTCGAAACGACCGTCACTCCAATTTCTTATCTAAAAAAAAAACACGTGAAAAATTTTTTCACATTCCGTCAATTAGTTTCTAAGAAAATTGCAACGATCAACGCGTTAATAACAACGACATTATCTCGATAGCGTTGCCTTCATTTATCTAATGATCGTTGAAAAGATCTCTTTTTTGTTGCAAGAGTATATAAACGTCAACAATTTCTCTTTGACATTTATTTCCATACTTTATAAATATTTCGCAAATCCAATTTTTTCATAATGCAACAAAATAAATTCGATTAGTCTTTGTAGATTCCTAGTTTACTTTAGATATAGGGGTATCGTTAAACTTTTCCATTAAATAGGAGAATGCTACTGGGATAATAGGAAAATCGAAAGAAAAAGAATACTCACGTCACCCTTTTCTGGAACGTACTTCGCCAAACAACCCCAGAGTATACCGAAGCCGAGACCACCGATTATAGCGATAGGTCCTTGAAGAATCTGATACCAAAGCGCATCGTGAGAAAACATGACGCTCTTTACGATGCCATATATTGCGACCGACGCAGCATCGTCGATTCCAGCTACTGCTATGATCAGCGTCGGGATACCCTGAAAAAAAAGGAGAAAAAAAAAAAATAAAAACCAGCAACTTTAGTCGTGAATATTATCTACGAGTAGGAAATGTCAGACGATGTCGTTCGACGAATTTATCTTTGAGTTTCATCTTTTTAAAAATAGTTAGACGCGTTTAAAACTTTGTCGATAGATAAAAGGATATGCCATAAAGCGCGCGCGCGCATGTTCGATTATGGTTCTATGAAAGATGCATTTCCTTTTACAGAGTAGTTTAATCAACTCGATAAACTTTCGACTATCCTTCATTGCTTTTCGTTGATAACGTTGACCCAAATGTCAGGAGAAGAAGTTCTTTGATTCAAAGCTTCGTATATCATCTGATTAATACGAGATTTTCTTTAGGGTACATTTTTTCCTCTCTTAACGAAAGTAACGCTCGATTTGGGGGAGGCACCCGTATACGTGTGTATATATATATATATATATATATATATATATATATACATATATATATATATATATATCTCGAAGAATAAACTTGGAAAATCGAGTAAACTTCATTATCGAGCGTAATTTCATTTTCCCTTCGCGTTGCGATCGTCGGTGTCGTCGGAAGAATGGAGTCGGAAGTTGGAGAGATCATCGCGGAAAGTTTTGTCAGCGTTCGGTGTCGCTACCGAAAAGAATCCGTCGAGTGTTAGTCGATGAAAGCTAAGAACGAAGGAAGGAAAAGGAGAAACGACACTTGAGGACTCGTTTGTAATCTCCTCCAGGCTATCTATCGCCGACGACGACGATAGTTCGTTCGGGATTTGAGATCACCGATTTTCCTGATGCGTTCTTCCGAGACGACGATGACGAGGACGACGACGACGACGACGACGACGATTCGTGACTAGCGTTTGTCCGACCGCTCTTTCCAACTTTCTGATCAGTTTTATAGAACGCCATTCTCAGCTATGTACTTTTACTCGACATTTTCTCCATTTCCTTATTCTCTTTTAATTAGTTCTCCGAAACGAACTACATTCGGCCATAACGCCGATAGTCGGAAAAATTGTTAATTTGTCCAACAGAGTTTGATATTGTATTCGATGAATATAATCCGACGAGACAGTAGAATGTTCGTGCTCGTTCGCGCGAATCCTATTCCTAGGCGCGTTAAATATTGATCGCGATACTTAAGCGAGAACGCATAAATTTCGAAAAAAGAGATCAGACGAAACGTCTAGCGGATTCTTTTCTTTTTTCTTTTTTTCTTTTTTTTTCTTCTTCAAACTCTCGTCATTTTTATCGATACGCTTATAGGGCGATTTTATTCGCGGTTACGCGATAAAACGGTCCTCCGTGCGGTTAGAGCTATAACGAAATATAGAGAAAATCGTATGAATATTTTGATGAATGTTTAAGCAGCGACGCGGCAAATACGAATAAATCTAAAATTTCACTCGTCTGGAATATCGTTATTATTTGTAGCGTGGCCCGCTATGAGCTAGACTGTGCTTTCAAACGTTTTGTGGCTTGATGCGATGGGAGGATTGGCGGTTTTGTGGTGGTATTATTTATATCGGAAATATTTCTACTCTGAAAACATCAAAAGCGGGTCCCATCTGTAGCTACGCCTACGTACTTTCGTTCGTTGCTTGCTGCTTTTCATCCAAATGAAAGACGTACTTTGCCGTCCTTTGGCGATGACTAAAAAATTGAATTTTACCCCGTGGAATTTGTTTCGTTAAAATATTAGGAAAAATCGCGCGCAGCTCGAAATACGCTTTCGCTTTCCGTTCTGTCATTCTCCTTTTTCCAAGTCCGTCTTACGTACAAGGTAAATACATGCGAGCGCATAGAAGAAAGACTCCAGGATGCTATAGGAAACGTGTTCTTATAGGGTGGGAGGGGGGGGGGGGGGAGGGCGACGTCGAGCACTTTTCCGTTCGATACGCGATCGAATTGATTCTCGTAGATTTGCAAACGAGCAAGAACTCCTTAGATCCTTTCTTCTCATGAATATCGTATTCGGAAGGATAGTCGATCTATCGTCAGTCTGCAAACAGCTTCCGCTCCATTTTCTAACTTGAATTATACAAAATTCCTTTCCTTTATCATTTATTCCCTTCTCCTTTGTAAACTGAAAATGTGTCATAATGTCACTAAACTAACGACACTTCCGCGTCCATTATAGCTCGGCGATGTAAATTAAATAGCGATGTCGCTTATAAGCGGAATCAACGCCGATGTTATTCGCGTTATTAATGGAATTCCATGGACAAAAAAGAAGGAAAAACGAGAGAGATTATCCCGTAGTATATACCATTTAAAGGACGCGTTCCGATCGCGTGCTGCGCTCGGTCCGATTAAACGCGTTCCGCGACTACTCTCGTGGTTCGTGCTTTGAAAATCAATGCCCATTGGCGCGTCGAGTTGTAAAGTAGACGACAGCGATCGCGCGGTACGGCCGAGTACCGGTCTTGTCATTGAAATTTTCTCTCTCTCTCTCTCTCTCTCTTTCTCCAATTTCCAACGACTTGTCATTTTCCGTAAGAACGTATTATCGAGATGGCTTAATGAGTAATTACGCTCTGTAATATCGTACATCCTCGTGCTAGTGGAGACGCCATTCGAGGAAAACCATTCGACCTTCTCTTGTTCGATGGAAAAACGAACCCGAAGGAGAAAAATCAATTGCCGTGCGCGTCGGCGTTATTACGGATGTAGCTTGTAAAATCTTTCAATTTGATTTGTACCCCTTTTGATATGAAATATTTGTGCCTTTCTGGAGGATCGAAGCAAGACCGTGCAATGTAGTAAATTGTAAAACTTGCGAGTTACGTGTTATTCTATAAGAGGTTTTGAAAAAGGCAAAGTAGGTGGGATGTTAATCTACGGGAACTTGGCGACTCGAGTTAAGTCGATTTAACTTAGAAATTTATGTTGAGCTCTTTCTATTTCTTTCTCGTACTAATGCCATCTTGCAAAAGTAGATACAATTTAAAAGTTGGAAAGTAAAGCTTTTAAAATCGTTTGACCGAAGGTTAGGAGCCCTCAGTTTATTATTAACGATTATTAATTATAAGTAACGACAGCGAATTAGATTTATATGTAATTATTGTGAAAAATGTCTCCTGCGAGACGAGCTCGTGCGTATTGTTCTTGACAGGCAGGTTATGTCCAGTCCGTTTTTCTTGCCGCGTATTCGAGAAAACTCAAACTTCTCTCAACATAATGGAGCAACTTTGCGGAAAACCTGTGGCACATGTGCACCGGAGGCAAATGGAAGTTCTAAGGGAGAAACTTACTCCCTAATTATCTATCTACTCTATGCTCGCATGCATATATATATATATATATTTTTTTTTTTTTTTTTTTTTTTTTTTTTCGTATTTCTCACTATCGCTTACCCATATTCCGTCTGGATATAAAAAGACAAAAAGAATTGTATTCTCCATTCTATCCTATTCTCTTCTATTCTCTTCTATTCTATTCTATTCTATTCTACACTATTCTATCCGATCCTATCCTAGTCTATTGTATTATAGAGGAAATATTCGAACACGGAGGGCGCGCATTTCATCGAGACGAAATAAAGTGTAACTCTGCTTATACTCCTTCTTTCCTCCTCTTTTTTTCTTTTTCGCGCAATCGACACCGTAAACCCAGACATCGTTGCTTCAAAGCTAAAACGAATTCGTGGATCGGCCGTATTAAAATTCATTCGAATGCATTTTCCGCATTGACAATGGAAAATATAGGTACGCTGTACGTTCTTCTTTATCAAAGGCGGATTAAAATCTCGGCACTTTATTCTTTGTTTGCGGTTTGAAAAACGTTTGAACGGGGTAAAGTGAATAGAGAGAAAGGACACAAGCGGGTAGCCGCAAAACGCACACGTTACAAAAAAGGATTTAATTATGGCTGCTTTGCTTTCTCTCCCCTGAGCAACGGTATATTCGCTCGAAAATTGTCTACCCGCTGCTGCCAGCTAGCCACTTTATGGCGTTATGAGATACAACGGGGTAGAGGTTACACGCATTATGAGCGTGCGAATTTTCCTTTGACACGACATTCCTCGTGCATTACTTTCGTTCCAAGGTACAAATACTTTAATTATCGATTCGAGTACCTTACGATCCTTTAACGACCGTTATTAATTGTTACTATTAATAATAATAATAATGATGATGATGATGATGATGATGATGACGATGATGATGATGATGATGATGATGATGATGATGATGATAATGATAATAATAATAATAAAGATGAGAAGAAATTTACCTTTGCGACGCCGTAACCCCTCTCGCGTAATCTGAAGAGACAAGGTACCACAACGGCTGGAGATACGGCTGCTATTATACTTCCGAGTAGTAAACCCCAGATCCATGGTAATCCTATGAGATATCTCGTCAAAACTGCGATCATACCGGCTTCGACGAACCATGGTATCAGGCCTAACTTTGGAACGGTGATTTTCAGTCTCTTCAATGCTATTGGATCGAGATCCAATCCTGCCCTGGTTAGGATGATTACGAGTGCGATTTTTCTACAAAGCAAAAATATTCCAATCTTATTTTTCTTCTCGTATTTCAATGACGAATGTTTTCATCTCTCGGATATCCTCGAACGTGTCGCAAATATTGATTTCACCTGAAGCCTAGACAATAAAATACGTAGAAAGATAGAAAAGTAACGTCTCCTAGCTCTCGTATCGTTTGGCTCGTTCGTCGTTCGATCGTTTAGTTTGAGATTAAAAATGACAACGAATGTTCAAGTATTGGGAGAATTTTTAATATCGGAGTTTACGTGGCTTAACGATAGTCGTAGCGCGAACATTTCCAATGTTATCTCCTCGCAAAAGTAACCTATCGGCATCGTTTCTATCTAGGCCAACGAATTTATGTGTTTTTATTGTCCGATTTTGATTTTTGTCAACATCTCCAGATAAGATATTCTCATATTTGCTTCGACGAAGTTACGTACGATCTATCGAGAGAGGGAGAGCTCGTATTTTCGTCAGTCGTTATTCTTGTCGATTATATGTGGCATCGACATTTAATTTTGCTGTAAATTCGAATTTCAGCTTCCAAGAATTGCGCCGGTGTGTGTCTAGCGTTGCTCGCGTCGGGGACGGCACTCTCTCCTAGTCGTAGGGAGAACGTGTACTTGCCCTACCTTCTTCTTTGAAGGTGAAACTCCTAATAGGATAAGTTTTCGAAGGTGCACCTCCCTAAACCGGTTTTACAAAGTTCGACTCCTTCGATCGATTTTAACGAGCTCGAATTTTCCAAACTCCACCGAGCGAGCGTCGATTTTGTAGACCTTTATCCATTTTACTTTTACATTTTATTTCTTTTTCTTTAATAGTGCGAACGTCAAAACGCCAAAAAAATTTCTCACACGACTCTCGTCAGGTATCACACGGTTTATTATTTTCCGATCGTCGAATTTTAATCGTCGAATCTTAATCGTCGAATGTTTCCAATTACCTTACCTTTTGAACGATCCTCGGATACTTTAGGTACTCGATTGTCACGCGATAGATATATCTTTTTATCGATATCGAGAAATTGTATCAGAAGCGAGAATGTTTCGATATCTTATCGATAATGTTGTCTCGAGAGAGGGAGAGAGAGAAAATATGTTTCGTCACCATCTTTAACTATCTCGGAGGATTAATTTCCATTTCTATGCGATCGATGCGCTCGTATTTTTGCGCGTTAATGCACACCCACGCGATGCGGACGAAAGATGCGTTTTCATTAGCTCCGAGCGTCATCCGTCGTCGTTTCTCGCGTTTCTCATGCCTTAATCAAGCCGACGCGAGGCGCGATGTTTTTTTTAATTGGGATTAACGCCTCTCTTGAAAAAGAAATGAAAAAGAAAATATGGTCAAGCTTTTCTCCCCCGACTACTTCCCCTACTCTTTTTTCTCGCCTTTTTCCCTTTTTCTTTTTTTGCTTTTTTAGAATCGAAAAGAAAAGAAAGAAAAACGAACGAACCAGTGAACACTAGTGACGTCTACGAATGTGCTCGAACTCGCCTTCGAAATCCCAGAGAAACGAAGGATTCGCTCGTTCTCACGGATTTGCGAGCGAGCTTTATCGTTCTCACTCTTGATCCATCTGTCCTATCGTAAAATCTATCTATCGAGCGCGTCTATACTCGCGCTTTTACCTTACTCGGTCAAGTTACGTAGCCACGTCTCGCTTAAAAAGATCCTTTCGGAGAGAAATCTTTAACGATCTCTCCCGCGACAAGCTCCTTTGAATTTTCGACATCGACATCGATCGTACGATGTAGCACAATCTCAAATCTCACGACATATTTGCTCGCTTTTATTTATGAACGATCGATACAACATAAGTAACTAAGTACTTGATTATAAGCTCGTCCGAATGGAAACAAAGCGATATCGATAGCGATTTTTCTAAGAAAATCAAAGACGAAAATCAGTCTCAAGATTATCTCCAAGTCGCAAACGTCGCTTGTATTTTATTACGCATTACCAGGTTCGATTAGGAGTACCCGATAGATATTACGAGATATATCTGGCATGTGAAAATTCGACCAACCGAGAGAGGATTTTCATCACATAGCATTTTTCTGCGATCTCCGCAGGTGTACATCATCGAAACGTAAGTTAACGCGATCGAAAAAGTTGAATTTTAACTCGATCCAGCAATATTTCCTCTCGATTCCTATCAAAGAATATTATTGAGAACGTCGCGTGCACAGTTGCCGATCTTGCGATTTTCGTCAAACATCGAGAAAGATGAAAAGAGGGATTGCTCTTCCAGACGCTCGTCGTCGTCGTCGTCGTCGTTGTCGTCCTAAAAGCCTACTTGGCTCTACGCCTCTGCTTTCAAATCTTTTATTATACCCGCAGTTCTTTCTACGAGTCGTAAGAGTACACGACCCTGTCCGATTGGAAGTAGAAGAAGAGTAATTTAGTCTCTTACTCGTTGAAGAATATAAAGACGGATCGTCGAGACTATCGAGCGCGGTCGAACTACTCGCTAGCAGTCACTATGAGAGCGTATATTCGCCTCTATAAGAATCGGCCTTAACGCTCCTAACCCAGAAACGACGAAATTCCTGGCATGCCTTTGCGTTCCCCGATAACGTCGATTCGCGCAAGATGCTCGACCGCCTCCGTCTCGATGCGACACGTCTCTCGAATCGTCGATATAAAGCGCAATCTCCTCCTCCTCCTCTCTCTCTCTCTCTCTCTCTCTCTCAGTACCAAGATACACACATACGTTCTCGTTTTTCTCTCAAGAATACGCACTTGTAAAGTAACAGAGGCATAATTTGTTATGTAACTCTTTTTCGCGAGAAAACTTTTTATCGAAGAAAGGCCTCGCTGTCGCTATGCCGCGCATCTCTGATTTACGGTCAGCGGACGCAGACCGAGCCTGTGGATCGTCGGAACGAAAGAAAAAAAGTGCCTTCGTCTCCTCGTGCCCCACCCATCTGTCTCGTCATAGCTAGGGTGCGCATAGCTTTCTTTTTTCAAGCATGATCGTAGAAAATGAATTTTCAATTGTGTTCAAAATTTCGGCTGAAATATTTTGCTCGTTTTTTCCATCTCTACTCAAATAGAAATAGGAATTACGAAGAATGTTTCGCAATCGTACACGCGTCCTTATTCTTATCTCTCTCTCTCTCTCTCTCTCTCTCTCTCTCTCTCTCTCTCTCTCTCTCTCTCGACGTTTACGAGTATTCGATCGCATATGCACGTAATGATCCCAAGGATGTAAGAATTTATTGACCGTTTATACTTTCATGAATTTTTAATGACTTTTCTTACCTCCTTTTGACTCTCCGTAAGAAATAGGAGAAGAAAGAAACCAAAAGAAAGGAAAAAAGGAAGAAAATTAAGAAAGAGTAGCAACCGAATTTTCTAGGAGATCCCCTGTCGTCTCGCGTGGAAAATCTCAGCGATTATAAAGGACGTAAGAGAGCATTCTTAAGGGGGAGAGGGAAAAGCTTCCCGGACAATTATACGAGTTATCTTACGACATTGTGGAAAATAGGAGAAAAGGATAAAGAACGAAGGGGAAATAATATTGTTCTTGCGTTGAAGTACCTCGTACTAATGGGACAGATTCATTCGGTTAAACGAATGGAATTAAGAGACGAAGCTCGTCTCTATCGGGAAAAAATTCTGCTCTCGAAACTCTCTTTTGGGATCTTTTATCTATATAATATAAAATGAGACAATCGTAGGACGAAAATATAGTTATATAAAAGCACGAGAATTCGAGCGAAGCACGAAGAATGCGCGTGTGGCGCGTTAAATAACAAGGTCTTGCTTCGAGCCCGGAGCAACATTCTTCTTAATCGCAATCATCGGGAGGATCATTTAGAGTACTGCTCGAGGTCTTTGCGATGTCTTGTGTGTGAGAATATACCGAGCATAGAAGAAAATATTATTGTACGTAGGTATATGTGCGACCTGATCTAAGATGCCCTGGAATGCGACGCACAGCCCACACTAATTTTCTCAAGTTCATCATTATTTTATTTTTACGTTTGCCACCAAAATCCTTCCTTTTATCGAGGAATAATTACTCGGAGAAGAATGATCGTCGCCAATGAGAAAAGCTTGGATCGTTTCTCACGCCGTCGTCAGGTGTCCACTCGAAATCTCGAATTTCGATTCTCTCGAACAAAGTTGGACCGTTTGCATAGACGTAATAGATTCCGCTGTAGGCTGTAGATCGAACGATGGAGAGAACGATGTTTCGAGATTTTCACTAGGATGGCTCGCGTCTCGTGTATAAAGCACAGGCGCACGCCGCGCGTCGTGCATCGCGAATTCTCTATTGAATTCTCCGTTTTCTCCGTAAAAACGCACTCAATTTCGGACGTTGATCTTCGATTGTAAATAGTCTATTTGCTTAACGCTTTTCTGTACAGACAGATAGATAGATAGATAGATAGATAGATAGATAGATAGGTAGGTAGATAGGAGCCTTCCAGTAGTTAGCTAACGTCGAGGAAAACGTGACTGGTCGAGTTGTCACCGAGTAAACGTTTACGGATAAATATTTTCCAATCGATTTACTCCGCTAGCTTTCTATCCTGCGAGTATAACTCGGAGATAATCGTATTTTCTCGATCGATTTAACGTACCTACTGTTACATCTATGATATATTATATCTTCTTATTAATAACAAGATAAAAGACGATGATGAGCATTCGACAGGTAGACACACAAGGGTGTTTAAATTGGAAGAGAGAGAGAGAGAGAGTGCTTTGCCCGATGTTAACATAAGGTAGAAAGCATCCACTACGCGTTTCGACGTGGTCATAGCTTAGCAAACGCAGAGAGACTAGAATAGGTGCGTTCCGCTGTTAAACGATCGAGATGCACGCTCGTTTAGGTAGGTCAAGCCGTCGTGTGCACCTATAATACGAAACCCCGACCGAATCGAGCGTTTCATCGCGATGCGATCTAACAAAGTATTTCGTACTTCGACCTCGGAAAGCTTATCGAAAGTGTCACAAGGGTTGCGTCTATCCGATAAGAGCGAACGATCGAATCGTTACTTATTTTTTCTCTACGACTTCGATTGGCCTTTTATTCGTTTTATTCGTAATCCCTTGGATAAAGACGAATACTTAAAGAAAATGTTGATACATCGTAGTTTCGAAACGCCTGGTTGGAAGAAACATTGTGGATTCCCAGCTATATAGATCGAGAGTAAACCGACAGATAGCGAGTTTGTTTGCGTTCGAAGTAGCCACTGCGATAGCCGGAAATTCGCGTATATATACATGCTTGTATGCAGATTCGCGCGCGCTATGCCTAGATAAATATATATATATATATATATATATATATATACATACCTGTGGACAGTCTCCTTTTACCATCGTGTTTCTATACAAATATCGCGCGCGACGTTTGCTTTTACCTTTTAAAAGACGAAATGAGGGGACGTCGAAATGTTTTCTCTAGCATACCACCGTTCGCGTCCACCCTAGACAAAGAAATTTCTTTGTAATTCGCGATAAAACGATATTTTTAGGCAACGTGAGTTTCGTGTATTCTACTGAAGGCTAACGTAGAAAAAGTGGGGAAGATAGTTTCTTTGTTTCGTCTCCCATCGTCCACGTGCTCGTATTTTCCTATAAGATATATCTATGGTATCGCTTCGGCCTTTCAATGATTCACGCTTCACCAGGAATTTCTCTTTCCCTCTAAAAGCGATGTAAATATACAGCGAAAGAATAAAATGTAGAAGAAAGAGAAAATTTAGAGCAAGAGCGACAGCTTCTCTCCGTTACGTCTCCTCTCCCTGTGTAAAGTCACAGGATGGAATAGCGCGGATGGGCGTCTCCCGGGTACGCTCCTACAGGCATTTTATAGACTGCTCCCGAATGCCACATTTAGTCTCTGTCCTTTCCATCTTCTTTCTTCCTTCCTTCCTTCTTTCCTTCCTTCCTTCCTTCCTTCCTTCCATTCTTTTCGTCTCTCTTTAATTCTCTCTCTCATTTTCTTTTCTTCTTGAGCAAGAGAAAAAGCAGCAAAACCATGGTTACGCGCAAAACTACGTCACGTGAAAATTACCAGAATGCAAGATTCTCACGGGGGAATTTCTTTATAACTCGCGATAAAAATACGTTTGATGCGACGAGAATTTCAAGTAGAATATTCGCACCAGATTATACATTGGTAGCTTCTACAATTTCCTTCCTTCGGCCTCAAATTTTTTCTCCTCGTAGAGATAGGATCCTCTTATTATTCTTCGAAAAGTCGCGTCGGCATCGTGGAACTATTGAAAACTTTACTTATCTCCTTCGCGATATTTTTCGATATTTTATACGCGCCTCGTAATCCTACAAGATAACGTTATATTTTTATTATAATACTAGATAAAGCTACCGAGCTAAGTAGCAGTTGAGTAAAGTTGTTTTTTTTTGTCGTTCTTCTCTCTTTTTCTTTTCTTTCTTTTTTTTTTCTTTTTTTCTTTTCTTTTTTTTTTTTTTTTTTTGGAAGGATTTCTCAAGTATTCGAATCGATAAAAATGCGAATTATACTTATCGATTTCTGAATTCGTGTATTCGCGACGAGCTATTTCTGTCGGGTAAAAGGCGCATAATATGGAAATTTACGCGCTAAACTAAAAGGGTGTATCAACGGAATTTACCCTTTCGTAAACAAAACAACTTCACGGAGGCACTCTTAAAAAGTTTAGGCCATCGTGGAAATATACCGTCTCTCTCTCTCTCTTTCTTTCTCGGGAAAACTTCCTATAACGTCGCTATTTTTAATTTAACCGTGTACCCTAGCAGCAAACCAAAAAGGTTGCAATTTTTTTTTTCGTCCTCTTTATCAAAATTCTTCAATTTCTAATACCGTACGGCATTATCAAGGCATTTATCGAGTTTTACGTAACGAAAAAAGGAAAAAAGAAGAAAGAGAAAGAAGTTATTGGATTTATTTTCCACCTAGGATATATTATCCTAATTACTTTAACGGTACGGAAAAGCACGTGGATTCCCGTGCATCGTTTCTTCTCCATTGTCGATTCCGCTTGCGTATATCGAAACGATCGTGAATATTAGTAGGCGAGACGAGCCGCGTGAAAGAAATTTCAGTGGCTGCAAATTAGGTAGGTATTAGTCGAGGAAAGTTTAGATCGCATTCTTATTTAACATTCTACCTACGAAATTATCGAGATATTATGCAAATGTCTCTCGAAACGTTACCGTCCATATCTTTCTCATCGAGTTCGTCCTTTAGACGAGAATTTTACTCTGAAACGTAATCGAAATCAAAGCTCGCAGCATTATCGTTCGTTCGTTATCGATCTAATAAGTCAAAGAAAAGAAAAAAGTTTTCATTTTATATGAAAAGTATTGAAACGTTATTTGAAATCAAATAAATTTTCGGTATTACCGAGTCTATAAAGTATGTAAAAAAGATCGCGTTTCGTTGTAGCGAAATAAACTTTACGCACGTTTTTCTTTTTTAGCAAGTGCTTTTATAAAACGCACATACACGTATAAATTTCGTATACGTTATAAAACCGTAAAATCGATCGATCCTAGCGCTATATAAATATAATATATTCGACGAGCTCGACTTTACTCAACTTTACTCGACTTTACTACGAAACCGTGGCTTTCTTCTCCGAAACGAATACTTTTGTACATTGTTCGAATCCTTTTATTCGTTCGTCTTCGCATGATCTCTCCCTCGGTTAATCCATCAAAATCCGATGCAAGCCAAGATCATCTTATTCGTGCATTTGCGTATCGTCCATAACAGTGTCTTGTCCGATATTAGGTATTCTCTTTTTATCGAAAAACAATAGCATAATCTACATCTTGGCGTGGCAAGACGTCAATCGATCTCATCGAAGGAGATTACAGAGGCAGAGATCGTACTCGTTATCTAATCTCATAAAAGAGAGAGAGGGAGAGAGAGAGAGAGAGAGACGACAGAAGCGTATTAACGCGAGACGGTTGCGGTCAGAACGCAAGCGTTTCGAACGGCAACCCGAGTTCCATCGTAATTATGCAGTTTGATGTAGCCGAGCACTCGAGTATAAGGTTCTAACCAGGCGAGTGTACCATAGAGAGAGAGAGAGAGAGAGAGAGAGAAAGAGAGAGAGAGAGAGAGAGAGGAGGAGGTCTGTGTCGCTAGTGCCGAGCTGCCTGCCTGCCTGCTGCTGCTGCTGCTGCTGCTGCTGCTGCCTACTCTCTCCGAGTATCGTGCGTTATTAGACTAGCTTTAATGCCGGCGCATTACGACGCGGTGCTATTACGTGAAGGCTAATACGCGCGTATTTCGAGGGACCCCGCGAGCCTAGCCGAATAATCTCGTCGCTTCCTCTTAACACACGCCAGGATTATCAAGTCTCTCGTTCTCCCTCTTTCGATAAATATCCATATCTTTACGTACTACTAAACGTCTGATCGATCAGTTTAGAGCCATATCGATCAATTATTTTCCAATACGTGGATATAGCTCGCAAATTCGATTTATTCAAGAAAAATCGAAAGAGAAGAGCATTATCGATCGTAAACGTCACGTCAACCGATGCATATCGAATACGCAATATATATATATATATATATTGCGATCCACTCCGAGAGAATACCGTTTGATATTCAACGCGAGCCACGAAGAAGAATCACCGTCTACGTCGACGACGTCGGACCTCCGAGTAAAAAAGGGGGGCACCTTAGGACTATCTGTTCGATCGAGTCTCGACGAACGAGGTCTCGCAATGTCTACGCGTGAGTTGAAACGACAATCGAGATCCGCCTCTTTCGTTACTTTTCTATTTTTTTTTCTTTTCTTTAACGAAGCGATTGCGAGCGACTCGACGATGAAAAATCGGATGATCTACGAAGTTAAACTCACCGCAAGTTGGAGACGACGATGGCGTAACGGTCGTCGATGCTGATGAGGTTAGCGTTTTTCAGTATCATCCCCGTGATCAGCATCCCGATCAAAGCTGGTAGAGTCGTCAAGGAAAAGAGCCATCCTCCAAAGTGCGCGGCTATGCAGAGAGTGGCAAGACCGAAGAGAGGACCTCCGGGTGCTGCGTCCTTTCCGGCTATCGAATAGACGATACCCCAAACTAGCAGACCGAGTAGGAAAAGGCAAAGAACTCTCGCAAACTTTCGATAGCTCGGACAGAATGGCTGAGGACAGGCTCTTTTCCATCCAGGTGGCTCCCATGATGGTGTATCGTCGCGTCCATGACAACGGGCGCAAAATAGGTACAACCACGACCTGACACAAACAAATATCGTTCCTTTAGTTAGAAACTAGTTTTTAGTAGGTATCGACCACATCTCGTCGCTATCCGTATCTCGTTTGAAAAGTTTGAACTTTTATAGATTTTCTTCTCTCACCTCTCGAGTTCTTCCGAGTACTCGATCTTATCCCTAATGGAACTGGTCAGACTGAAGGCCGACTTTTTCCTATTACCGTTCATCCTTCCATTCTCCGCGAGATCGAACTTGTTGTGCTGCGGTATATTCTCGACGCTGTCGTAATTACTGCCGGTATGATGAAGTATCGACTTCCTTCTACCTTGATCCGAATTGTGCTCGGAACTGGAGCTTATACGACGATGATGTTCGAACGCAGGATTATCCACGCCGAAGATTTGCTCGCTTATCGAGACGCGTCTTTTCGTTAATTCCTCGCACGGTCTCGTCGCAGTTTTACTCTCCATCTCCATTTTCCGTTAAAACTCTGTCTCTCTCTCTCTCTCGTGCAGCTTCGTATTATAAACGACCGTAAGTGATAGGAACGGACGTCGCAATTGGTTCGACTCGACTCGACTCGACTCGAAGAAGAGAAAGAAATGTAAGACTCCGAGGAAGGTGTCACGCTCTCGACCACGATCGCGTCGCTAATGTTTTCCAACGATGCGCGCTCGTACTACGATTCGCGTCTTTCACACCTTGGCCCGCTTTTGCCATCGGTTTGTCTAACACTCGGACGATACTCCGTAAACCTTATTTACGACGAACACGAGACTTGGATGACGATGTATTGTCGATCTCTCACTTTGTTCATCTGATTAGCGTGCTTTTCAAACTTTTCTCGATTCTTGTTTGTTTTTTATTTTCTCTCTCGCTCTCTCCCAACTATTTCTAAGCTGTCGCTGGAAATGGTCAAAATATGTTCGATTCTTTGACAGAAGCATAACGCGCGCGTCTCATTTTTCACGAATTGAGATGAGGCAAGACGAGTTATCGTCGAGCACGGTTAACTAGCGACTAAACGTCGCGAAATATCCGTCGCGGACACTGCCCGTCCGTCCGTACGTACGTACGTACGTACATATGTACGTATGTACGTGCTTGCTTGTGCGCCTCCACGTATGTAATACGTATGAGAATGGTGGGGCTACGTAAAAAGTACCTACTTCACGTACGCGTATGGTGTGCGTCGTCGACAGTGCGCTAATCATTCTTACTACCACGTTATTCAACGTAGCACAGGATGGGCGCAGCTGGACGCTTCATTGACAGTCCGTTCGATGGATGGGCGAGAGCCTCTAACTCGTCATGGTTACGAGCTCTAACAGAACGTTTCGTATTTTTGTTTGTTTGTTTTCTCTTTTTTTTTTTTTTTTTTTTTTTTACGGACAAATCTCGCTCGATACTACTACTATAATGCCTTCATCGATACTACGATTTCCCTTCGTTTTTACTTGTATCAGATAGGATAATAACAATGTTTATTAATGACGATTAGTCGTCGAATAGAAAACTTTGAATGTCTATGCGTTTCAACTTTGCGAATAACGTACGCTCGATTGCACACGCGTATTTACTTATTATACTTGGCCGGCATCGAGAGAGAGAAAGAGAGAGAGAGAGAGAGAGAGAGAGAAATAGCATTTCGAAGCGTAACACACAAGCGAGAGAAGTAGAATTATCGTCGTCTCGACGCAGCGATTAGCTTTTTCAATCAAGTAATACTTTTCGTTTGATAACCTAGATCTCCCTCTCGTGCTCTTTATCTCTCTCGCTTTGAAGAATAAGTAAAATCGATCGATCGATCGATCGATCGATCGATCCAAACGACAAGCGTTGTCGTCGTCGTCGTCGTCGTCGTCGTTGTTTCGATATTTCGCTTAATTTTTGTCAGACGTCAAACTTTCTTCTTTGTGTACATATTTCTCGAGAGATCTTACCTAATCGATTAAAAACATTCTCGTCTTTCCACCCATCGAATTCTCCGTTTATTACGTCGTATTGTTTCTTTTTATCGCGAGCCAGCAATCAAATAGAAGTACTCAATTAACGTTAATCCGAATCTCGTGAGTGCTATCACGTGATATTTTGTTCCGATACGAATAAGTATTAGAATTGCATCATTAATAATTATCGAATCACAAAATACGACAATAGGACGATACGTTGTCATCGGTTATCTACGATTGCACGACGGCCGGAGATCGAGCAGAGAAAAGAAAAACGACTATTGTTTCGAGGAGACGACATCTTTTGGCACAATTTGTGCACATTCGGAGCACGATACCTACGTTTCGTGACTAATCATTTCTCGTTGATGATACTTGGATCGAGGAGGGACGACGAGATAGCGAGAGCGAGGAGGAGGAGGGCGTCCGTTGAAAGCGGTCGAGAGCGGTCGTTGTCTCTAATCCGCTGACGCGATTCATCTTCCTGCCACGTTGGAACGCGATGCATGTTCGCGACTCGATTGTACTCGGTATTACGGTCAGTGTTGGGAATTAATTACGCTACATGCTGCGCGTTTCGAAAGCGTTGATTGAAAATTTCAAGGGACGAGCTTTCTTGGTTGGTCTTCGCCGATCTTGCCGACAGCTAAGTCCTCTCTCTCTCTCTCTCTCTGCCTTGACGATTATTGCAATGTCAAATGGACGCACGTTATCGAAAAACCATACTCTTATCTAATCAACTTATGTATAAGAAATTGTACAATAATACGCTTAGAAGAATGAAAATTGTCTATTTCGATGAATTCCTTTCGAACTTTTAATCGATCGTATAAACTCAACGTTAGTCTCAGCCAAAGGAATAAATAACTAAGAGAAAAAAAGGAAAATAAAAAAAACGATGGATCATCGAGACGATGAAGAATCACGCGGGGAACTTTTCTTTACTTTTCGAACAGAAATCAAATCGATCTCGAACGTCGAAAACTCGCGGTCTATTTCCGACGCGTATTGTATGGATCTCGTGCGCTACACGCACACGTGCACTCTCTGCGGCAATCGTATTCGCCAAAAAGTCGTCCATTTTTCTTTCGTCGAACAAGAAAGCAAGTCGCGCGCTAAAAGAAACAAAAGAAAACGTTGAAAATCCTCCGAGCGATTCCTCTTGGTTCGACTCGAATCACATATATACAAATATACATATATACATATGTACATCTATATATCCCGCGACTGGCAATAGGTTGCGATTTTTCGTCCTTCATCGGACATTCCGTGGACGTCGACAGTCACGCGAGAATCGTCTGCTTCGTCCCTCGGAAACGAGCATTAGAGAGAGAGAGAGAGAGAGAGAGAGAGAGAGAGAGAGAGAGAGAGAGAGAGAGAGAGAGAGAGAGAGAGAGAGAAACGACGACAACGACGACGACGAGGTCGAAGATAGGATTGGAATTGCAAATATCCCTCTCCTTTGGTCTCTTTCCCCCTTCTCATCTCGCGTTAACCCCCTATGCTCGTACACACGCACGCGAATAGATGAACTCGTGTGCTGGTAAAAGCCTCCTACGTTCGAGACACTTGCTATAGTTATTGCTACAGAGAGAGAGAGAGAGAGAGACGAGGGAGGAAGAGAGACGGATAAAATTTATTATACCCATGGCAATGATATTACGATAGTGGATATGTAAGAGAAAAGAAATATATCAAATAGATTATACTTATTAAAAAGATTCTAAAGAGGATAAAAGATAATGATTCTAGATAAAAGTTTATTTCAAATACAATAAATCAGAACGTTGTTTTTTAATGGAATGAGACACGATAAATCTGAAGAAGAAAAGACCAGATGAAATAAATAGATTGCTAGATATTTAGTTTCATTCTATCCAAAATCTTGAGACATTTATAAAAATTTTATAGAAAGGGAATAGCAGTAATAATGGAAATAAAAGAAAAATGGAGCGAGCGAACAAAGAGAAACACGATGACAGAATCCAAAACGTAAAAAAATAGTTTCGGATCGTAACATATAGGAGAAGAAGAAAAAGAAGAAGAAAGCATTCTTTCGGACTTTCTTTTCAAGGTTTAGAAATCCGAAGCTATCCCGGCAGTGTCTTCGATTCGAAGACGAGGGAGGAGGTGGAAAAGGGAAAGAGAGAGAAGATCTCGACATGGACGAGAACGTGAACGAGGACGTGTAGTTTCGTGGAAAACGCCGCTGGCACGAGCGATACTTCGAATTAGCTTAAAAGCCTCGGGGGCAAGTCCGCTAGCAACATGTCGGTGATGCTACCAGAGTAAAAGAGAGCGAGAGAGAGAGAGAGAGAGAGAGAGAAGGCAGGACGTGCATTCCCTCGTATATCACCCGGAGATAAAGGACTGCCAGAGCACGATGGAAAGTATAGTGGTTTCGGCGACAACCCCCGGATGGGTAGTCCAGCTGCCACATTTTCTCCCTCTCTCTCTCTCTCTCTCTCTCCCCATCTCACCCGCTCGCTTTCTTCTTCCCTCAACTGGTAATCATTCCGAAGGTGAGAAACAGACGGGAGAGCACGGACAGAGAAAAATCGGGCGCCCTTCGAAGCTTCTTTTTCTTCTTCTTTCTTCTTTCCTCTCGATTCTCCTCGAGGCAAAAGCTTTTCAATTGTTTAGCTCTCGTCGCCAAGATCTTTCAACTCTCTTCCTCTTTCTCCTATTCAAAAACATGCGCATATCAAAACAGAATGTCGATCAATGCTGTACGATCTTAGGATCGTACCTACACTATCGACACGAGGTCATACTTACCGTCCATTCATTTTTACCTTTTCCTCTTTTTTCTTTCTTTCTTTTTTTTTTCTTTTTTTTTCTTTTTTTTTCTTTTTTTTTTTTTTTCCTTTTACAGGATTACCTTACGAAGATAAATTGATTTGATTTCGTTCGTAGATCATTTTATAAATTAGAACCCAGGTAACACCGAATATAATTACCGAATACGATTATTGATACGAAGGATAACGGAAAAGATGACATTGGTCACGGACAAGACTTTCCTTCCTTAGACGCGTACGGATAAATGTTTCACATTTGCATAATAGATGTAATAGATAGGGTCTATGCGTCCTTCTGACCGACTCGTCGGACGCAGAGATTAATAAAATTTCATAGCGATGGAATAGAACGGCGCGTAGATAATCGCGATACTTCGCTAAGAATTGAATGGATCCACTCGTTCATTTGTCCTTGAACTTGGAATTTTCCAAAAAATATCGCGAGTATTTTTTTCTCTTTCTTTTTCTTTTATATATATATTTTCGGAAACTCCCTGGCCCCTTCGCGGCTTTGCGCTAACGAAAGGAATTATCGTATAGGAGTTATCTCTCGTTAACAGCGCTCCGATAATGATCTCACGTGAAACTATTTTTCGTCGTATCCGCTCATGTGACCGCGTACTAACGCGCATACAACGTATTGGCCACCAAAGGTACGAGCTCTATTCGAGTTTTACAAGTTTGTACGCGAAGTAGGTCGCCTCGGGAAGCATGTGAGACTTTGATTTTGCGTCAACGCCGATGCGCCGAGCGAAACGGATCTTTGTAAAAGATTAACAGCGCAAAGGTAGAGAGACATGTGGAATAAAAATAAGGAAACAGTAGAAAAGAAGAAGAATGAGACGAGGGTAGGAATTTTAGAATAGGTATTATTAACAGCGTAGTCGCGTCAACGAGAGAACGATAATTGTAAAACAATCGAAGAAACGATAGCCAAAGGCCACTAGTTTAGAAGGAAACGAAATTCGCAGGTGGATTAGAGTTGATACATACGTTAGCGAGCGAAGCGGGACGAGTTAAAGGAGGACCGAGCTTCTGCTCGGTCGGTGCCAATTAGCCCTCATTATCGCGCGAGATGACGAAGAAGGGGGAACAGAGAGACGACGGTGTCACGAGAATGTAGAGGGAGGAGGAAGAAGAGCTCGAGGAGGAGTAGAAGACGAGCAAACGAGCATAGAATAGAAGCGTGAACGAGATTCTCTTGGACGCGTGCATCGTTCGCTCTATATCTCCGTGAAACTGAATGTGTCGTCCAGAATAATTTATCGAATACTCCCCGTTATCCGTATTCGTGTCGAAACCCGTGGCGTTCGACATCTACGTATAGTCGACTGAACTCTACCGAACATGATCTCCCATCGGAAAGCATTATCCCACGACCTATCCTATCCGAGGGAAGACTTGCCAAAATCGTACCACTTAACGTATCAAACTTCTTTTATGATTTCTTACGTGATCGATTGATAATGACAGAGTCTAAACTTTAATTATGAACGAACAACCGAGGTTATATTTATGTCTTATATATATATATATATATATATATATATATATGTATATATATATATTTTTAATCAATTTTTTCGCTTTTAATTTTAGAACGAAAGAATAGCGTACTCTAAATATATCGACGATCTTTTATAGCCTGGTCGAAAAGGAAACGTCGAAGAAGTCGACGACGAGGGAAAATAATTCGCGTGCCATTTCGCACGTGCCACTACACACTCTCAGAATTACTTTACTTCTATCCGAAAGACGAGGGCGATGACGAATCGTTAAATTATACCGTCGAAATGCTGAGAAGAGAAAATCCCTACGACCGAATTGTTCACAGGCTGCGATTTGTGCAGCGAGCGTACTATTCGTTTTCTTTTTCGTCTTTTCGTTCGACCCACCTATGCAGAGATATAATATTTTACCTACGGTGTAAACACGTACGCACGTAGGTGAATCTACACCTACATTCGACACAGTTGTCCCATAATGAAAACTAAAAAAAGTAAAGGAATACATTTAACCGAACGAATCGTCGATATATATTCCACAGGTGTCGAGGCGAATAATCTAACGAATGGATCGTTAGATTAATCGAAATAAATTTGTTCATATTTTTTAGTATTTTCAGTGCTCCACGGGACGCATTCGATAATTCGATTAATTAGAAAACTTTGAAACGATAACGAGAACGCATCGATTCGTTTAACAAACGATATTAATCTAATAGGGTTTTCATTTTTTCTTTTTTGTATTTTTTTTAAATAACCTACCTCTTTTATTTTTTTATCTTTCAATAAATATTTGTACGGTGGTTCTCTCAGGAAAAAAGTAAAAAGAAAAGGAAAACGTACGATACGTTTTTCAAAAATGTACTTACGTATTCCATCCACGCGTCTTTGCGATCTTTGAGAATAGTATTCCGAGCAGGCACGGACGAATTTCACCTGTGCAAATATGCCGCCCGTTAAGAGTACCATCGAACAAAGGAGTTTCATTTTCGAGTCGATAGTGTTTCCCGCTGAGGAAGCAAATGATTATAAAAATAAAAAGCGACTTAATGAAGGTTCTATTATAAATCCAAATGCATTCCATGCGATACGAATATCGTATACGAGCGTCGTTAAAGTAACGATAGCCACCAAAGTTTTTTCTATTTTTATGATAATGCCGTTCCATCTTATCGATTTATCGATCGATCAAAAACGATATAGAGAGTTGCCAAATACTTATGACACCGGAATGTCTCTGATATCGGGACTACCGATCTCTCTCTCAGAATAACCATCCATCGTTATTCTGTCTCTTTCGCAACGTGGCGTCGAGGGAGTGTTAGAAGGATGACGAACGACGAGCTAACCCTACGATGTAACTGGCACCATTGGCTCGTCGCTTTTCGCTATTTTCGAATTCGACACGACTCTCTCTCTCTCTCTCTCTCTCTCTCTCTCTCTCTCTCTCTCTCTCTCTCTCTCTCTTTCTCTGTCTTTCCTCGTCGTTCGCGAAATTGGCTTCGTTCGTCAAAATTTTCTCCCGGCAACGATCGTTCGATGGTTCTCGAGATTCGTGAAACGAATCGATGAATTTTTCGAGCTCGTAAAATAAAATGAAATAATCAAATGTAATAAATATTTCTATGTCGTTGGACTCTTTTTTTAAGTTTAATTGGTTCGTATCTCATTCAATAATCTCTTTGTTCTTTTTCATTTTCCCTGTATTTAATATGTTCTCGATCGTCCATAAAATTCCGTTTCGCTTATAAACTTTGATCCGTCGTCATCATAGTCTTCAAATATAATGACGCATTCATAGGTTTGGTTTAGCGATACGTAATTTTCCGAGTGGATCGCTCAAAGGTAGCGAAAGACAAAGCTAATGAAACCCTTAGTAGCTCGCTCTATACCATCGTCTAGTTCCTTGCGATACACTTTCGATCGATCGTTTGGTTAAACCGCTCTTCCGATTGGCTCTCAACGGACTTGGGAGCCTCTTGCAACGTTGTTCCGAGAGTCGATTCTCGATATTGTACGAGTACCGTTTCGCTTCTCGTCTACGAGAAAATTGCCTCTTGTGCTTGCGAAGAACGGCTACGAATGAATCTTGCTTTTTCTTTTTCCTTTTCCTTTTCCTTTATTTTTCTTACAGTAAGAGCTCTTATCATTCTCTACATCTTTTCCTCTCTATAATATATAACAAAAAGCACGAAAAGTACGATTCCTGGCTCGGCTTACCTTTTCCATTTTCCCTGCCAACGTTGAGTCATAAATTACGATCGAAGGAGAGAGAGAGAGAGAGAGAGAGAGAGAGACTACTATTATCGGCAAAGTTAATTAGTCGAAATTCCGGCGAGGCGATGCCCTCTGAAACTCGCAGGCGCACGCATCAACACTTGTGCGCTCGATCGAACGGTCCTCGAAATGCTCTTTTCACCTTTCCATGGAAACGTCCTATCCGAGGTCGATCGCTGAACTTGTTATTGACTTTGCGTATGGAACGAATGAACGTGGAAGAAACGACGAGGACGATGCCTTCGATTCTACGTTTATCACGATTGTCTTTCGAATATACCCACCTATTATTTCCGACATAAAGCAGAATAACGAGACAAAAATAATATAAGTTTTACTTACTTTTCGGACCAGACCGAGATGATCATGCCAGGACGAATGCTTCCCACTTTGATTTTTAACACAACACGGTCGTTTCAACGTCAAAACTCTTCTTTCCCTCTTTTCTTCTCTTTACTCATCACGATGTCTCAAAGGGTTCATCTTAGAATAGTCGGTTAGATCGCTCTTTGTCGCATACACCCTTAACGAAGTTTCCCATTGAACTGCCTTTCGAGGTAGCGTCGAGCGTGTACGCCTGAATCGCTAAGCTCGACTAAACTTAGAACTTTGCATGCTTATACCTCGTATCGATTTGGTAAACTTGACAACTCTTCGATATGACGACAAACGTTGATCATCGTATCCACCGTCGACGTTAAAAATTCACGACACGTGAGGTATAATGTGTCTATTGTACCTTTTCACGTTCGATGTCTTCACCGTCCACCGACTCGAATGTTTTTTTTTTTTTTCTTTCTAGAGACTAAGAGTTATACATTAAATCGAGTCGATAGTTTTCCTTTAATACGCATGTAAAAAAACGTAGGCTTTACGACTTTTTTCCCAACCTTTTTGCGACTTTTTTGCGACTGAGATTCACTCGATAAATGTCTATGTGCGTGTAAAGAAAACTTGGCTCGATTCTTTTTTTTTTCTTCTAACTTTGTTAAAATTCGATCGACGTAAAAAGAATTTATATAGGTCAGAGACTGTCGAGCAGGTTTTTTTTTTTTCCTCTTCTTTTTGAGACGATTGCATCGTCAACGATCGCCGACAGGTCGGGGTACGTCTATGTGCCAATGTCCTATAATACAGATAGGTTGTCCGAAAAGATTTTCTTTCCATACGCTGACACGAGGCAGCATATTTACGCATAGATATTAATTACTTATAAACCTGAAATAGTGAATCGTGTAAACACAGAAAATCTTATCGACCGATGAAAATTTCTCTATATGAAAATATTTGCTCTGGAGGCTGTGGCGCTACGATCGATGCCCTGATTACCACTTTCGAACTAAATACACAAAGCGAGACAGAGAGAGAGAGAGAGAGAGAGAGAGAGAGAGAAAACGTGCAATTTGCTTTTTCTAAAATCTAAATCGATTCTAGGAGAAGGATTTCCTTTTCTCTTCTCCGTCGAGGGGAGAAAAGAAGAAGAAAAGAGATAAGCGAATCCACGAGACGAGACGATAGTATGAGTACGTTCGTATCGATCACAGTTGTTCGATACAAAGAGGAGATACAAGATAGTAATGTGAATACGCGATGGTCGAAAAAGATACGATGGTTAGGATACGCGTATAGGTGTATTCGCGGTAGAAGGAGAAACAGTTCTCGGATAAGTTGTTGGATGTTTTATCGGCACGACGAAAGGACGGTATATCTATCGTATGGTAGGCCGAAGAACCGAGAATCGAATCGTTCAAATACCGATGGGAATTGAAAAATCCAAGACCGGAAATAGCCCTCTTTCTCTCTTTGATAAGAGATCTCGTAATCGAAAAGTTAACGAACGAAAATGTAATTTTTCATCAAGATTGAACATTTGTTTATGATTCGATTAGGAAATCCCCCAGTTATGTCGATTATCTCGACAAATTTGATTTAAAGCTACGACGGGAGATTTACATATGTAGCACGTCGAACGTAATTAATGGAAACATAACGAGCTCGAACTGACGTCGTTGTTTTTCGAGGTACAAATTACGCATAAGAGACAACTTGCACAATTTTCTCTCTCTCTCTCTCTCTCTCTCTCTCTCTTTCTCTCATATAAAATTTCACGCGTTATACGACTAATCTGTCCAACGTAGGTATATTAAAAGCTACAATTCGTTTCAGATACCGTATTTGATAAACGTTCGTAATTTCTCAAAAGCTTTTCTGTCTCGTTCCGACGTTGTCCTATTTTCCTTTTTTGTTTTTTACATCGATATTGAGTTTCAACGTCGATCAACGTTGTTCGTTAATACTTCAAAATAATTTAGATTCATTTTTCGTGCAGCTCGTAATGCAGTAGTTGGTAAAGGAAACTGTCTATCTTTTTTTCTCTCTTTCTTTGTATCTCTCGGAGACGACGCGTGCGCAAGTTGGAAACTTCTTTGTCGTTTTCCTTCTTTTCTTTTCCGAAAGTTATTGTGAGCATTGTTGTAAGGTAGAAAGGATTGTGGAGGAGTAAAGCAAGAGGTAGGTGAACCAAGCGGATCCTCTTTCGTTTTAAAGGAAGATAAAGGAGCTCGGATAGGAGGTAACTCCGGTGAGAGGTAGCTCTCATTCCCAGCTTCATCCAGCCCATCTCACCCCTTACGCCATGGTATTCGCTAATCCACTTTGTTAGCTTTAACGACGACGCTCCGGCGGTTTATATGCGCCGCTTTTATCGAATTCCACGAATGTAGAAGCAACGAGTCTCGTTGACGTTCGAAGAAAACCCGTCTCGTCAAACGAATCACCGTTATCTCATTATCCTCGCGATTCACCGTTCTCCTTTCTCCACCTCTTTTCGTTCTCTATTTTGTCGTTGTCGGTTCAATCGAACGAATCGACATATACATATATATCCGAGCAGATGATTACGAAAGTAGCTCGAGTTAGATAGTTAGTTTTTCTACAGTAATAGTAGTTGTCTTTTCTCATGCTTTTTACTTTTCACGAAGAACAATTTCTAATGTGAATCGTACATATATTTTTAATAACGCACACGTATGCAATATTGAAATATTGGCTTTCTTTTTCAGATTCTTCGCTTACCTCGTCGAAATTTATTCGAACGATGTGCGAATACCTGGAGAAACGTACGTTTAGTCATTGTTCGTGTCTTTCCAAAGAAGAAACGATAAAGAAGGAAAGGAATGCGGAGCTGACCGGAGCGTTATAATTCAAAGGAAATGCGCTAGTTTCTTCGCACAGACGACGACGACGACGACGACGACGTTCTCCTTCTCCATTCTGTTGTACACATCTACGGACAGACGAATGGTGAGTTCATTACGTACGTACACACGTAGAAAGAGCACTTCATTTACATCCAAGCACAACATGTTAGGTAAAAGGTGCAGGGTACGTGTGTGCGCGCGCACGTCCTCGGAAGGCTAGCCGCGAAGGAAAGCTAACGTATAGCGGTTGGTACTCGGTCTATGCCACGAACCTGTATGGCATGACTAATTATACTTCAGCCCGCGGCAGATCTCGTTCGTTCCGACCCTCAAGAGGCGGAAAGCACCCCATTAAAGCACGAGCTTCGGCCACCGACGTCGTCGCTGCCATCTCCTCCGAAAGACGTCGATACGATCCTATGACTCTCGGTAGGGAGAAAAAGAAAGGGGGTGGGGGAGAGAGAGAGAGAGAGAGAACTTTAAAGAAGCGAAATCATAGGGGAAGCTTTTGGTGATTCTTTTTCGTGACTTTTAACATCGTGTCTCTTATCTTTTTCTTATTTCTTTTCCTTTTTCGCGGCAAACCTTTGATCTTTCTCTCTCTCCTGTTCTTCCTACCACTTATTATCTATTTATCTTTGTCTTTCTATTTATTTTCTCTCTCTCTCTCTCTCTCTCTCTCTCTCTCTCTGCGTTGGTTGCACGTGTCACTTTAGCGGTATATCTTGCCTAGAAACGATTCTTGAGATTGCTCTTCTCGCTCCTCCTCCTTTTCCTTCTCCTCCTTCTCGCCTCCGCCCCCAGCAACGACGAGGGAAACTTTCCATTACCCTAAAACATTGAGCCTGTCGGTAGTCTCCCCTAAGGGCAACACCCCACCACAGTCCTTGTCTTGAGGCTCGTTCATTCTCTTCATCCTCTTACTTGGTCGCAAAGACCTTGGAAAAGGAAAGGAGGCCGAGGAAACCGGAATAGAGACGTTTTCGACGACGAAAAACTACTCTCCCTTCTTTTACTAGGTTTTCAGTACAGCAAAACCCTTCGACGAGAATCCCACAAGAAGGAAAGAAAGACCACTTACGTTTGTGCCGACTTTCTTGACATTATTCGCCGATTTTTCTTTTATATTCGTTTTTCCGACTCTCTCTCTCTCTCTCTCTCTCTCTCTCTCTCTGTTCGACTCTTTTTATAGGAATATTTTTCGCCAAGTTAGCGTGGCTTCCGTTTTGAAGTAAGAAGCAATGTCTGTAGGAGCGTACGTACATATGTGTACAAACGCGTTACGATACGGATGCCTCTTTTATAATGACCGTCACGCAAAAAACGTCGCTATATCTTCCATCAAAGTTTGTGTACGCGCGAGTTTTAACGTATGTACATACGTAAGTTTTATTGCAACACTCTTATATGCTTTACGATTTGCCGGCTTTTTTGCGAAAAATATAACTCTTGTAACCTCCGTGCTCTTCGTGCAATAAAATTTTACGTATATAGGTATGTCTACGTACGTGCACCTCTTCTGCAAGCTTGGAGGAGTAGGAAAAGAAAAGAAGGAGAAATTTTTTTCCCTTAAACAAATTCACTTTCTCTTTCTTATATTATGTTGTTCTTGCGTCGTTGCGTCGCGTTCTCCTGCGAAATTTCAAGATTAATCGAAAATAATGAGAAAAGATGCGAGACAATCGTGATGAGGGAATGACTCGAAATTTAAAAAAAAAATCAGTGGATACAGTTGTCCAGAGTCTATATACGTAAATTGGGATAGAGAAAATAGCAAGATCGATCACGTTTTAAATGCTTCAAGTATTTATTTAAACAAATCCCAACATTCCAAACATTGATAAATGTATATGAGTGTGAGTTCCTCCCATTTCTTTTTATTTTTGAATCCTGTGTACGCGTACAAAATCGAATATTTGCACGTCCATTCTTCGTTAGTTTCTTTTCGATCGAATCGAAATGAATTTACTTCGAATTATTTATTATCTTTTACGCGAGGGAAAAATGAGCGCGCCGCTGTCAATCGATTATTATTATCCCTTGCAATATTTTATTATAGATTATTTTTACGTTTTTCCTTTTCTTTGTTTCATTCATTTTAGGCTTACGCAAGGCGTACGCGATCGCGACATTCGGATTACAAAGAACTTTTTCTTTCTTTTTTTTTTTTTTTTTTTTTTTTTTTTGTTTCTTTTTCTTTATTTCCTTTTTTCTTCTTTTTTCTTTCATCCTATCTCTTATTTACGACGGCCGAGTGTCCCTTGGACTATAAGCTAAGTTTTAATAATCAATTAGCTCACGTCATTTAACGTATGGCCCCACGCACGGGTTTTCATTTTCCTCTCCAATTTTTATCAAGTTTCTCTTAAACATTAGAAGAAGGGAGTGTGCTTACAACGATCTTTTATTCATAACGTCTTCTTGTTCCTTCTCTTTTAATCTCTATATTATTATAGGTTTATATGTCATTTTTACGGCAGTCACTCGAGGGAAGAACGAGGAGAAGACTTCTCGTCCGATTTTTGGTACTTCTTGGTGCGTTGTGCGTCTTTTCGCGTATTCATTTTCTCATTGTTGTATTTTCCCTGTTTTCTATTGCATTCTCTATTCCTTTCGCGTCTCTAATCCCATGGTCGTTTTACAGATCGTTATTATAGATCGTAAGCGACGCGTTGTAACTCACGTTATGGAAGCGTATCGATCGAAAAAAATTTACAATATTTATTCGGTCCTCTCGATCGCCATATAAAATCATTCACAAAGGATTCGTAAAACGCAAAGCGGTCCATTAAATACCGGAAACGGAGTAAATTCGGAGTAAGCACCTCCCTCCTCCCCCAGTAAAAAAGAAAAAAGAAAAGAAGTATACTAGGATGGACCCGGACGCTCTCTTTGCTTTTTTCAAGCATCGTCATCGAGATCGACATTGTATTTCCAATAGTGCATATAATTTATACAATTTTATTTCATCAACTTCCTCTTCCTTACATGATTATTGTTTTTCCTTTTCACTCTTACTTTCTATCGTTTTCTTCGTGGCTTCTCGCAATTACACTCGTAAACTACATCACAATTCGCTGACACGATACATACGTCGAGAATTGGAGAATTGAGGAATTTAAAGGATTTTGCGATATCGGATTCGTACAAATTCACGTTCGCGCCCAGATAAACGATCCCATACGATTTCTTTTCATATTTTTCGATACATGTGTCTGTGTGTGTGTGTCTGTATGTGTGTGTGTGTGTGCGCGCGTGTGTGTGTATACGATATATATATATATACATATATATCGTATCACCGTACAAACCTAAAGTCGAGGCTCGTAGCTTCCAATTCCTCGAATAATTCCACTTAGTGCTATGACAAATCCGGATGAGCGAACATCGAGGAAACGTGTCCGCGTAGTCTCTCTGTCTTCCTGAGACCGTATCAATCCCTAACGCGTCGCAGCACTGACTGCTACGATAACGCGACCCGAGAGAGAGAGAGAGAGAGAGAGAGAGAGAGGGAGAGAGAGAGAGAGAGAGAAAGGGGAGAGAGAAAACTCATCGGAAGACGAAATTTTCCGGGTACTAGTAGCTATCTTTAAAATCCTTGAGAACGTCTACTTAATCTCTCTCGGGAGTCGTTATCTTTGACTAGACGATAAAATTCTTTCTCTTTAGGTAGGAGAAATTCGTCGAGTTCTCTCGAGTCTTGTCCCTTTTCTTGTAAATACTTATTGTTAGCGTAAGCTCTCCTTTTCGCTCTCGGAACGTAATTAACTACTGAACACTTTCGTAGCGCACTATATCAAAGAAAGAAATTCTTTAAAAAGCCCCGCGTCAAGTAGATCGAACTTTTCAATTGTTTCTGGTATCGCCTGATTTGAGCGCGTCAAACCGATATCTCTTGAATCTGCACGCGTTTCTTAGCGCTACCGGGTGTTCCAGGTTGACGAAGAATCCCAGGACAGGTGAGACCGACGTTGGGAGCTGGAACCTTGGGAGGTGGCGGTGGTTCCGGGAGTTCCTCGTTATCGTCGTCATCGTCGTCCTCATCGTCGTCATCGTCATCGTCGTCGTCGTCGTCGCTATCAAGGACACCGTCTATCATATTGTCGTCGTCCTGCATCCTGGCGATGGTAGCATCGATGCACGGCGAGGGTGTTCGTGTTCTCTGCACGCATGGATTTCTACTGTAGGACGGTGGCTCGAGGACCCTCTTCCCACCGCCCGGTGGTGGAGAACATTGAAATTCTTGAAGCTGAAGCTCCAACTCTTGTACGAGCTTGGCCTTGTGTCCTTGAGGACTCGTTCCTGGAGAATCGATCAGATTCATCGAGGACAATCTTTGTTTTCCAGGTGGACCGCCGATCTCGATACCGGAACAACCAGCCTCCAATAGTTCCTCCTTCTTCTTGTCGCCGAAAGCCGAGAGACCGGAATTACCAGACGCGTTCCTGTCGCGCTGATGATATATACCCGCAAAGATGATGATATTTAGGAGCAAGAGAAATATCCCAACGGCGATGGTTACGGTGAGGGCGGTTGTATAGCTCTGATAATAACTCGAAGTTAACTTTCGAAGGAGATTGTTAGGTCCCGGGCCAAGATTCGAGTGCTGCGACTGTGTCTTCGAAGTACTCGCTATCGTGGTCGCGGTCGCGTTGGGCGTGCATTCGGTCGTCGATGTCGACGTGTGCGACGACACCGAGGAAGGCTCGGTTGGCGAGGGCATAGGCAATGGTGGCGCTGGCAAAGGCAGGGCCGTACTCTGCGGACGTACCGCGCCCTCGTACAAATTCGAACTGTCCGCCAGATGATGATGACGCATGCTGATCTCGTAACCGGGCCGGTGCAACTGCGGCAACAGATTCAACCAAAGTGACATCTTATGACCTCTGTAGTGCGAGCGCAGCTTCGTCACGTGGCCTGCCTCCAAATAAAGCTGATTTATCGAGTCGTACGATTCCCAAAAGGGTGGACTAGTTAGGCCACTCTCCGTACCGGACGTCAAAGAACTCGCTCGATTTGGATCTCTGAAAGCATACGATTCGTCGTCCGCCTTCGTCTCTTACGACTAAAATTCTCGACAAAGTCCTTAATTCGCGCGATCGAGGGTCACACGAGTAAGGCAAAAGTAATTTCATTGAACGCCTTTGTAACGCATCTAGATGATAGACAAAGACAAAAGAAAAAAAGTCGAAAGTAAAAGTCCCAATCGATTGTCCTCGAAATGTGTCTCCTTGAAGGGAGGGAGACAGAGAGAGAGAGAGAGGGGGGGGAGGGCGGGAACCCTCCTTTCGCGTCTATCGACGAATACGACGTCGAAGCCGAAATCTAATTTCGTGGGAAGCCTGGAGGTTGCTCGCCAATTACGGTGTGAAACCACGGCCAGAGGTAGGAGACGGTGCGATAGCAACTTTGGAATTGCGAGCTCCGAATAGCAGCTGTGCTTCTCGGCGTCGTCGTACCTCTTAGAGAAGGGAATCCAACCTCTTCCACGAAGTACCGCAGTACTTGGAGCAACTTTATATCTTGGCGACTACCCTTTCGTAGATTCTCTCTCTCTCTCTCTCTCTCTCTCTCTCTCTCTCTCTCTCTCTCTCTCTCTCTCTCTCTCTCTCTCCCGCCCCCTCACTTGCTCAGCTAAGAAGAGCGCATTACCTATCGACTATCATCGACTGCCTATGAAAGGCAATTCGGACGTGATACTTGAGTTCTTCAAATATACATAGGTTGGAACTAAGGGAATTAACTCTCAAGTCAGAGTAAATCGGTTTCCGGGACGTGTGAGACTACTCGAAGCGACTACCGAACGCGAATCGAGTAAGCTGTGCAAAGTTGTTGGTTCCATATTGAATCCGAATACATACCTAACTACTAGCTAAGGTAGCTATCACGACTGCTAATTGAGACGGCACTGAATTATAGGGCACGCGCGATATCGAACTAATTTCCTTTGATCGTTCTGCAAACGCCATTAATTGCGAATACCGCTTCTCGACGAAACTTGAAACAGCTGCTTTGTCACGAAACACCCTGTTATTATTCGTTGCAATGTCGCAGAAACTGGGCCAAATAGCGAGGAATCGAAAGAATAAGATACGTCGTATCGTGAAAAAATTAATTTTACCTCGACCGAACGTAAAACGCGCTATGCGATACTTTAATCGAAGGATAATAAGATTAATAAATAAAATTCCTCGCTCACGAAGAACAGGCCGTCCCCTCTCCATTGTCCTTTCCTATTCATCGATTTGTAACACGATATATTCTTCTCGTTGCAACGAGCTCGCAATCATAAAATCAGATCTACCGTTTCCATATTATATTTCGAAAATGAACGACTATAACGATAACGATTAAACGTATAGTTATACATTTTTAATTCTAGGTAGATAAATCGACCCTATGGATTCGAAATACTCGAGGACGTTAATATCAGGATGTCATTAACTATGGCGGTAGGTATATGTCTCTTGAGGCGTTTTAGCACGAGCGAGATCACGATAAAGTTGGAGACAAATTATCTATGTATAGCTGTGAAGCTGTAAAGGTTGAGAAAAAACACACACACACACACACACACACAAAAGAAAGAAAAACGAGAGAGTGAGAGAGAGAGAGAGAGAGAATATCATAAAATGATAATAGAGAAAACTCACCCGCGTCTTACAAAGTTGGCCAAGTAGTGTACAAGTAGCCTGGACAGGTTCTCGTCGGCGAGAGTATAGTTGGCCAAGGAATACAAGCTGAAATCTCCTCGAAGGAGAGGTATACCCATGAGATAGGGAAGTTCCTCGCCTTTTTGACTAGGTCGATCGCCCGGTTGAAAGTGTAAAAAGTATCCGCGTCCACCGGAAGTAGAATGAAGAAGGGCCAATCTGAGGAGAGGCGCTGCAACTTGACCGTCCCCGAGAAGCGACAAAAGACCCTCGCAAATAGCCGAGGCGTTTTGCTCTCCTCTCTCCCAATCTGTGTACTCGTTGCGTAGGGTCGAGTAGATCTCGTGCAGGTGATAACGATAAGTATTTCGCACGTAGGTGCGAAGGATGCGATCCCTCCTGGTCTCGTTTAGCCCGTTCTACGGCACGAAAAAGATTTCCTTTCTATTTTCGTGTCTTTTACTTGTGTCTATCCGATTGGCTTCGAAAAGTTTAATAACTTGGACGAGAATGAGAAAGGAAATCACTCTTTCTCTCTCTCTCTCTCTCCCTCTCTCTCGCTCTCTCTTTCGTTATATATCGAAGCTTCTATTCTCTTGTAAAAGTGCCCTTTGTTTTACGATCCCCAAGTGCGCTAGAAATCTCGATAAAAGTCGAAAGGCAAATCGCCATTCGGCATTGTTACCGAATTCGAAAGCTTTTCCTCTCTTTCTCTCGCTCCATCTCGCCTAGATGAAAAACCCCGTTGACGCTCGTTCGAACCACGGAAAATACTCTTTACTCTACCCTTCCTAACGTCGCCTAACGTCACGTCGGATCTCTTCGATTCGAACAATTTATTATTACTGTTTTTCAACGCGCCGCTAATCAAGCCCTTCCGATTAAAAGTTATTTTCTATTTTCTCCCCCTATGCAGGTGGAAAGTCCCAAAGTGTCATATGCGCGTACATTTCATATTCCGTCGAATTCGCGTACGAATAAGCGCAGTTTGATGAGAACTCGAGCGGAACGGCCTCGCGAATGTGACGCGTAGCAAGAATCGATTTCTGTCGGCGACTCCAATCGAAATTTATTTGTTCTATAATTAGTCGTAACCAATTACAATTAAATCCATAAACGTGAGCGCACGTATAGGTAACGAAGTTCGCGTATCCTTTCAAATCTACAAACTCGATCGGATTACAGACTCGATTTCCATTCGCGTCCTGCTAACGTAAACGCGATGTATTTCGCACAATTAATTGAGTATTCGATGGAAACGATATATATATATATATACGTACACACACACACACACACACATCTACAATCGTAATTGCAGCGTAAAGGAATCGAGAGAAGGAAGGAAGGAAGAAGGATTCTTTACCTGCAGATCCTCGTCGGTAAGATTAACCCAAGCTTCGTCGGACGTTAGACCGAGTAAGAGATCCCGATTACCGAAATTGGCAAATTCCGCGCCGGGTCCTGGCACGAGGGGCATCAATCCCGCGGAAGAGGCAGTGGGCTGAAAGTTCTAGGAAAAATTTCAAAATTTGTTTGCATCTAGACTTTTGCTCGATCATCCGCAAACGTGAAAGTTATCGAAAAATATGCGAACCTGGTTTATCGGTTGTGGCAGGACGGCTCCGTCGACGAAAGGCGCGAAACCGGAAGTAAATCTTGGCGGATCGAACTTGACGTTGAGAAGATCATTGAGGCTTCGCAAACGAAGGCACGGTGCGATGTCGTCGACTTCGTCGTCGGCGGGACAGCCGGTTTGTTCGGCGACTAGATGTTTCACCGTAAGCGGATCGCGTTGAATCGCCCACGGTGAAAGGGCCGAACCACCGAGCAGTATCACTCTCTCGACCAACTCTAACAATTTGTTTAGTTTTTCGTTTTAAGTCACGAAAATGACTTTCGAAGGAATATTTCATTGAATGACGTTGGATATAAAATAACAAACTCTCTTTCGTCTTTCCAGAAGGAACTACGAAGGAATGTACCTACGTCTCGTACAACGAAGGGGAAGAAGAAGAAGAAGAAATGAGGAGGGAATATATTTAGAAAAGCTAGCACGCCTTGACATCGCTCGTTCGTCGTGGCACCCTTGCGGAGGCTTTTAAAGGGTGACTCGACATTGCGAAACGAAGGAAGAGGATATTAGAGAAGGCACAGGGGTTGGTTCGTTAGTGGAATTGGGCTGCAATCTAGGAACAGTACGGACACAGTAGGGAACGGACACGATTCTCTTTTTCCCCGCCTATTCGTCCCTCTTTAGCTCTACACTCTCACCTCCTCCCCCTCTCCCTCTACTCTCGTCTTTTCGGCTTTCAGAGTCGCAGAGTCACGGAAGACTACACTCTAGGTAGCTTGTTAAGGTCTCTAGTATCCGACGACGACGACGACGACGACGACGACGACGACGACGACGATGACGACGACGACGACGATGAAGAAGAAGAAGAAGAAGAAGACGATGACGACACCATCGTCCTCGACAGCCACTCGCTTCTCGTGGTGGTGTAGTCGTACCGACGTCTCTATCCCTTATCTATACGTATGCCTTCGTTCCTTTCTTTTTTTCTTTTTTTATTTTTCGCTCACAAACACGCAAACACATGATAACTACGTGTATCCCAGAGAAAGCCTTTCTCCTCCTTCCTCGACCTCTTTTCCGATACTCTATTGTAAATCGTACTCTTTTTACTTTTCTCGAATTCCCCTTCGACCAAATCTCGACTCGAGCTCGGTTAACTAAGAGATAACTCTCGCGAGTCTCTCGAACACGTGGCCACATCGACCAAATTTCCAGTAATCTCGATCGATCATACTGACTAATAATACCACCATCTATAGTTAATCATGTTTCTCATATCATCGAGAGTATCGTTTACCATTCGTTTCATTGTCTCGATCGGTTGGCACGAAATCATCGATGCGGAAGAAAGTCGGTGAAGCAGGAGGGAGGGAGGGAGGGAGGGAGGGAGAGAGGGAGAAAGGGAGAAGGCTAGGAACGTATTGATTTTTCGACACACTCGCCTACGTATCGTGGAATTTTCTTCAGATTATGCTGCGATCTCTTTCTCTCTTTTTCTCTCCCTCTCTGAAACGTCTTCCAGCTTCTTCTCTATCCTTTGGCAGATTGTGCGAAAAGCGACGACGTGTGAAGCGCGATAAGAGAAACTATCGTTCTATATATCGTTCGTTCTATATACGATGCTATACGATAGGGAAGACGAAAGCGTTCCTTTTTCGTAGCGTAATGAACTTTCATATCGTATATTAAAGAAAGGCTCTTTCGTCACCGGCCATAAAGGCGGCTGTATTTCCACCTTCCAAGGGGTTAATTAAACTTTTTCTTTTATCCGCTCGAGTTTTCTTTTTTTTCTTTTTTCTTTTTCTTTTTTTCTGTTGCTCACGGCAGAGGTTTCCAACGTGCCGTCACAATTAAGTGCTTCGTTAAAACTTGGAATTCACGTAATTAGTTTCCGTTTGGTGGATACGTTCTTTTCGAGGACTTTTTTCCTTTTCCACGCCATCCTAGTGCCGTTATATACGTAAATAATACGTGCGTGGATTTGATTTCAATCTATTCGAATAAAATGCAAATACCTAGTGGGATAATGCGTATTAATTCGAGCTCGTTAAGTCATCGATTCGATTCAGTACGCACGGCTGCAAGATAATCATTTATTTATTTGTTCGTTAAACGCACGGGATAATATAGTTGTGAAAAGATATTAACGATTTAAAGGATAAATCTTTGCCGCGAACTGTCTCGTACGATCGAATGAAATGATCGAGAAAATAATACCTTTGGCCATCGGTGAGACGGCTAAAAAATTGGCCAGTGCTGCTCCGGTACCGTGACCAAGTAGTGCCAATCTTCTCGAATCGCCACCGAAAGCTTCGATGTTCTCGCGTAACCAATGAAGTCCCGCCACCAAATCCATCAGTCCGTAATTTCCTTGAGCGTTTCCTTTCGATCCGGTCTTTAGGAATCCTGTCGACAATTTGTACCGATTAAAATGTATAAAAACGTGAGCGAGCGCAAAGTATGCGCACGCGTGTCGGATCTCTCGTTGATCTCTCTGAAATTCGTCGCTATAGTCGAGAGCGATCCTTAGCGAGAACCAACGACGAATATCATTTCGACTTTATCGTTCAATTTCCAGCGTACAAAACGTTTTTCTCCTAACGTGTCCGAAGCTGAAACGTTGGGAACGAGATATCATCGCGAATTAATGATCGAAACTTCGAGTACGTGGTGTCTACGTGTTCGAGGAAATAGGTCAAAAAAAATAATGTGCTCTCGAGTACACGCGGAGCATTTGAAATTTACATCGTATATTTGAGGACGCGTATTCGCGGTACACAACAATGAAAAAGAAAAAAAGGAGGGCAATAAAAATTACATTTGCCGCGGAGCCGTCGTCGTACGAGGAAAGACACGTTCTCTACGGCTTTAAAGCACGGTACGAATTTAGATCACCAATATCGAAGAGTTGAACGCTCTAATTAAGAACTCGGGCAGAGGAGCGTGCATGCGCTTACGAACCATACCCCTCTCCCTTGCGTCTGCCTTGCGCGTCGCAACGACGAGGAGGAACAAGTAGAGATGGCCGTCCCTCGTAAGCTCGTCGAGCTCATTAGACCCTCTTGCCCGTGTTTTATTTTCTTTTTTCTTCTTTTTTCTTTCTTTTTTTCTTTTTTTTTCTATTCTTCCTTTTTTTTTCCTCTCCTTCCCGGAGGTCACGGCATTAGAAGGTAGGAGGCTTCGGCTTAACTTCGTAAACTTTCCTAATCGACGTAATCGTTCCGTCGAGCTAACTTTTACAAAGAATCTATTCTAACCGGATTGCGTCGTCCTATCTGCTTTGACACCGTCACCTTTTTCACCGTCCTATTCGTCTACGCTTCTAACGTACTTATCATTAACACGAAAATTTTCGTTTTATCGCGTTTACCTTATCACTCGTATTAGATCATCGTAGTAATGTACGTTCTTTCATGGAAATTGGAACATATCGCTCGAGCGTTTCCTTGCGTTTTAGATTTCATTTTCTACCTACCATTCGTCCATCTGACTTATCGTCCTTGTCTTTTCGCTTAAATATATTCCACTAATTGCGATTAAATCGCAATTCTCTTAAATCTCGCGTTTCCCTGAACTCTCGTTAAAAGTAAATACCGATCTATCAGTTTTTAACCATTCTTCTATCATAATATGTTTAATGGCAACATTTGATTCGGCGAAAAGGTTAATTGACGTCGAGACGAACGATTCGTAGAATCGTTGACCTTGATTATAAAGCAAAGAACGGGACAAGAGAGAAATGTCTCTATAGGTAAAAAAAAAAGAAAATAAACAGATTAGATTCGGGCTTGGCCGAGTCTTTATCGGGAAAGGAACGAAGCCGGATGTAAGCCGCGCCAGTACACACAAGCTCACCTATACATTCTAACGTAAAAGTACACGTCGTAATCGTATAGTATGTGTATACGTAGATCTCTACCTCTAGTTTCTAAGCGAAAGAAAAGAAATAGTACGCTCGCGTAAAGCGAGCCAAAGGCGCTGAAGAAGAAACCGGAGGAGGAGGAGAAGCAGCTGGAAAAAAGGCGCACGCGAAAAAAAGAAGAAAAAGGAATCGAATTAGACGAGCATGCTCGCGCGCTCACGCGACTATTACGTGCCATTGAATAAAGCCGCGGGGTATGTTTCGTTCGTTGGCTGAACAAAACGCACGCGAGACAGTTCCATTATAACAAAGAAAGAACGAAGAAGAAAAAGGGGCTATCTCGTCTTTCGTCCTCTCTCTTCCTCCCGTTATCGCGAATACAGCTGGAAATATCCGTGCGTAGCCGCTTTCCGATCACGACCCAAGCATCCTCCTTTGCTTTTGGCTCATTTTTTTTTCACGAAATGTATTCGTGAGCGAAGCAATGTTTAAAATTCATCGCTGATCGCCTCCGGCCTACTAACTACCGACCGAAAGCTTTTTCGAAAAAATAAAAGAAGAAAGCAAACCGAGTGTAATCGACTTATAAAAAAGGTATAGCTGACTTGGCAACAGTTGATTTCATAGGAAAAACCAACGTAGAGGAGAGTGTATGTATACGAGAAGTAGCAACGTGTTCTCGAGACAATTAATTAATTTGGTACAGCTTGGAACGCGACCGATCGATCGAATCGACGAACGAACGAACAAACGAACTCAACGACGAATGTATGAAAGTTGAAACAAACTAAATTTGCAAAGTCTCACGAGTTTCGAATGAAATCGAGCGTGCTTGGGAAATGGCGCGCGGGAAACGTTTTCGACGACAGCGAACATCCTATCTTTTTCCGTTCGAGTTTCAAAACATTTTAGTTCCGTCTATCTATAATTCTCTCTCTCTCTCTCTCTCTCTCTCTCTCTCTCTCTCTCTCTCTCTCTCTCTCTCTCTCTCTCTCTCTCTCTCTCTATCCGTGTACTTAATTTAGTATTCAAATATCTATTTGCGCCAGTACGGATTCCCATAAAAATGTATCCTCTTGAAGGCTTTGTCGTTTACCGCTATCACTTTGAAATTCTCAAATACCAATTTTTTCCACATCTTTCATCCCTTCCTTTTTTTATTTCCACTTCCATTCCCCGAGATTCGTCTCTTCTTCAAACACTTTTCTCGCTCGAAGCACATGGATAATAAAAAAGAAATGACCAGTATCGGTATCTCACGCGGCATTCTTCTCCTTTCCAAGGTGAAAACGTGGTCGATTTTGTCGTACGTAATAGTACGTACTTTCCTCTTTGCAAACATCACTTTTTTCTTTCCTTTATTCGGTTATTATGAAACGTGAAAAAGTCGAGACCCGTTCATACGTTCAAGCTCAAAATGAGAAAGAAAGGGAGCGAGAGAGAGAGAGAGAGAGAGAGAGATAGATTTAAAAACTTGAACATAAAAAAGAGAAAAAACAATTTCGGGTTAAAAATGCGTCGAAGCGAAGCTTGACCAAAGGCTATCTTCTTTGTTTTTCATTCAGGAGGAAAATTAGCTCGTGAAATATTCAAAAGACGATTAACCATTGCCGCCGACTACGTCGTTTAAGTCGTCGTTCTCCCATTTCTTCTCGTCTTTATTCTCGACGTGATTCTGGAGAATCACGTTCCTCGGATATCGTCCTCGCGACTTTAGCAGAAAGAACGATTATTCTCTAAACGTCAGAGGGTTTATCGAGGTAAAAGCCGGAAGAGCTTTTCGATTTTATTCGCTCGGACTCGAGAGTGCCAGAGTCTTTCGACAAGAGTTTTTTCTCTCATTTCGCGAAGATTCCAGCAAAGAGATTCGAGCCAATGACGATGAGTATTAGCGTGCGACTAGGTGCGAAATCGCGTCGTTGCTTCGAAGAAAAAGAAAAAAAGAAAAGAGAAAGAAAAACGAAAGGAAATTCGAGGGGAATACTCACCGAGCACGCCGATGCGAAAATTGATGGAAACGACGATTAGACGTCCGTGAGCGGCCAGAGAGGTTCCATCGAACGAATTTCCGGCACCCCACGAGTAGGAATCACCGTGAATGAGGAGAAGCGCTGGCAGCAAATCCGTAGTACTACCTGAAACGTTAAAAAATACTGGCTCTACATCAAAATGTACCTTGTTCTCGTACATGAAAAAGTAGGCATCTTTCCGTTCTACGTGTACTTCTCCCTCATACGCCAGTCGTATAAAACCGTAGAAAAATCTAGGAAACTGTACGTACATATAGACATATCGAAACATGGCATTGACCATACATCGGCCATAAAAATGGACCCGCCATTGTTTCCACTCTCTACTATCTGGAATATACATATTACAAGGGAATATCATGTCGAAAAAGCATAGACAAAAATAAGAGAGGAAGGAAGAGAAAAAGAAAGGGAAGGGAAAAGAATGAGATAGTATCGTCGAAATCACCAAGGACGACGTGCTTTGTTCCCTCGAACGTGCGCTCGTTAATGTTTCCTCATCGACGATGAGTTACTTTTTTCTCTCTTTCTTTCGCGGTCTTGGCATCGCTTTCGACATATTTTCCTTTTTCACGGAATAAGGCATTCGTGGAAAGCGACATTGATCGAAGATTCGATGATGCCGGTCTCGAAACTATTCTCTCTGAATTCCTATATAAACGTAGAATCTAATCGTACTACTACCCTAGCCCCTTTCAGTTTCTGCCTTTGGTATATAATCTTAATTAAAGATCTCTCGAGCACTCTCGGCTTCCTTCCTAAATATTTCAATGGAAGGTAGGTAGAGAGATCTAATCGAATAGAATAGAATCGAATCGAATCGAATCGAATCGCGAGCCCGTTCTCGTGATCGACGGCATGTCGCGGCTATGTTTATTGGACTTGTGACACGTCGCCCGTAAAATGAACAACGGTAGTAACGATGGCTCGACGATATCGTCGTTCGAGTCGCGGGGAAAGTGCCAAACCTGAGCTTTTCACGGACGAATAGAGATAGAGGACAATGACTTTTTCCTGGCGAATCATCGTCACGGAAAAAACTTTGTCAGACATTTTATACTTTTTCGATTTCGTTTTTTTTTTGTTTTGTTTTTGTTTCAACAATAAAACGTATCTTGTTCAATTTGATATCTTTGTTGGGTCTCTTGTTTCGGTCGCTATCTCTCTCTCTCTCTCTCTCTCTCTCTCTCTCTCTCTCTCTCTCTCTCTCTCTCTCTCTCTCTCTCTCTCTCTCTCTCTCACATGCTTACAGGGCCTGTCCAATTCTATTCGATGCGAGAGAAAGAGAGAGAGAGGAAGATCGTAGCTCGAAGAGGAAAAATTGCTATTCGAAGTACCGAAATAGAGAGTGTCGAGCAGAATGAACGCAGCGTTTTCCGTCGAAACAAATGGATTCGCACGTATGTGCCAGTCTTTTTAATATTACGCGAAACGAGAATGATCCGACGCTTTTTTTTTTATTTTTGTGTCACACGTAACTGAAAAAAAAAGAAATAAAAAATAGAGAAAACGTTCGTCGATTGATTTCATTCTAATATATGTATCCATGTATACGCGTGCATAAAAGTATATATATGTACGATCGTGTTTGCTATAGATATACATTTGCTATATATATATACACACACGCACATACAACGGGGGATAACGGAGCGAAAAGTCCGATCGTCCGAGCATACACGGATCCGTTCTACTTTAGCCCAGGAAAAGCCCTCGCGATGAACCCACGATAAAAGCGGTTGCCTTCCGTCTTTTTTCTTTTCCTCCTCTTTCCCTTTCCGAACGATCAAAAGATTCCAATCGTATCGTCGACTATAGTCGCGTAAATCCAGGCGTAAAATTCCCTTCGAAAAGCGAGAGGAAAAAATGTCACTCGAATCGGCGAACAAGACAACGAAAAAAGGGGGAACAAAGCTGCTTCTCTTGTCGTTGCATGTATATCTAAACGTAGAAACCACTCCTCTCCCTCTTTCTCCCTCATAATTGCACTTTTGTTTCGTAACTTTTTCTCTCTCTCTCTCTCTCTCTCTCTCTCTCTCTCTCTCTCTCTCTCTCTCTCTCTCTCTAACGATTATCAGTTTTAATTTTGAAAGTGCATCGTTGCAATTAAGTTGAGAGCTAACGCAGATTGGTCTCGGTGAGTTACGAACTATCTCATCGCTAAACGACGGAATTTCGTCGGTACGTTCTTGAACGACATAACGAATGTGTGCATTTGCTAAATGCACGTGCGCAATCACGCTCGTAAATGAACGATGCTCCCTAACAATAACTTTAACAATTTTCGAGCCTCGCACGAGCACGGCTATATAAATTCTTTCCTCCAAATTTTCCGCTACAATGTTCCTTTCTCATTTTTTCCCCTTTCTCCCAAGTCCTTTCACCGAACGTTTCTCGATAGCTTTTTATGCACTTGTACATATATACATATATCTATATGCGAGCGAATAGTTGATGTATTATTTATAAACTCGAACGCGGTCCGAGAGAAATATATTTATATCTTCCGCGTTCCTCCATTATCGAGTAACAAAGGAGCTTCGCGCTTCCTGAAAAGGATCGACCTGTTTTCGTAGCACGTATAAAAGCAAGATCATCGGAATTCAGTTCACTCGAGACTCAGTTCGGACCGAGCCAACTTTGCCTCGTTTAGACTTTCTCTCCATATTTGCGATCAGCATGCCGTATGAGTAATACTCAATTTGACAAATTTTATTTTTGACAAACTTTTTCCAAATTTCCTCGGTAAACGATACTTTTGTTAGATTTTTTTACAAGGATACCGTTGAGTGAACACTGTTCGAGTGAATTCGTCGATTATGTGTTATAATAATTCATGAAATCGCATAATCGTTTGAGGACGAGCCGCGATGTTGGAGATTGTAAGCGATGGTAGACGAGACGCGACGAGACGAGACGTCGTCCACCTGTTGCGGATTCTGATACCTCTCACCCTACTAGAGTTTCTCTCTCTTTCTCTCTCCCTCTCACACACGCACACACACACACACACACACACACACACGTGCGCGCGGAGACGAAGCTCGAGGTGCACGGGATAGGTATAGAAGATCGAGCGAGGCGGCAACTAGAACGGTGGTGTCTCGATAGCTCGTTTCATGATTCTACCTCGTCCTCCCTTTTCCATCCTTCCACTCGTTCGAGACAAGTTAGGGCACGATACTCTCCCAGTCCCTTCTCCTCGATCGCGCGTTTACGAGTGACCTCAAACTTTTTATTGCCAACTATTTTGTCCCGACCACCTCCAATCTCGAAGCCATTTACCTACGGGGTCCTCTCGTATCAACGATTATAACGAGTCGAAAGCTTTTCAAATATTATTTTTCTCGAAATACAAAAGAATCGAAATGAGATCGAAGCTAATTTCGTTTTTATTATTTTTTTTTAGAAGGAGGAGGACGTTCAATCGACGCGACGCTGTCATCGAACGAAAGATGGATGATCATTTTTATGGTGAAGCGTGTCTTCGGATTTTTGTGTACGCGCAAATTTGAATACATTCGTACTAATTAGAATAAAATTAATTCACGCAAACGTAATTAACGATAAGGTAGCACGCTTATTAGCTTCTTGTTTGAAATTCTAAAACTATCGAAAGAACTCGTAGAACCAGCCGGCGAACTTTATTATCTTCAGCTACCGAACGTAAGATACGAAAGTCATTATTGCGAGCAGGATGAGAAGAAGAAGAAGAAGAAGGAGATGAACGGAGTGCGGCCTCAATTGAAAAATATTACTTTTCCGGACGCGGAACGACGAGGGAAAAAAAATTAAATCGCATCGACCTTTCTTAATTACCTTTTGCGGTATTATGCGAGAAAAAGAGGACAGGGGAAAAGAAAGAAAGGGGAGTGGGAAAGGGAAAAGGGAATTAATCTCACCTTCCCTTCTACCTCTTTTTCTGAATGTTGCAAACGCGAAAAGATATATCTCGGTCGTTTTATTGAACCGCCGCGGCCCATCGTTCCTCTCTCTCTCTCTCTCTCTCTCTCTCTCTCCTCCGTCTTTATTATAATAATAGTCTGAATAGTAGTAGCGAGTCGAATGGTTTCTATCTTTAGAATTGTTTCGCGTAAAACGTTTAACGTTTTCGCGTAATGTCTACCATTTATATTACTGAATATCATTCCACTATCGAGAACAATGGACGCAGCAGCCAACGCTCTAGCCATCTTATTTAAGCTCGAACGAGCGACCTTTTCAACGAATAGTAAATCAAGCCGCTGACAGGAAAAGTACTTACTTACCTACCTACCTACCTACCTACCTACCTACCTACCTACCTACCTACATATTCCTATATATTCAGCCGTTCGAATGTGAAGAGGGGATTGTAGAAATTTAGCTGCTGCAATTCCATCTTTCAACATCCGGGTTGCGTCTGTTTTTCTTCCCGTAGGAGTAATTTCTATGAAGGGACCGGGAGGAATATTCGTGGTAGGGCTCGCGGTCCGAACGAACGATCGGAAAAAGATCTGGGGGTGGTGCTTTTTGAGATATCTCATTCATTTTCGGAAGGCTGGAAGAAAATATCGGGCGCACTCCGAGCGCGATGCTTTTTATAATAGTAGGTTGCCGAGATGACGCTCTTTGTATTTATTTCTTTTTCTCCATGTAGAATAGTTACGTCCATTCGTATATGTTTACTCCTTTTCTCTTGGCAAGTTCTTTTGGCAAAACGATCGAGAGCGAAAGGAACGTCGAGCTTGTGTTCGAGAAAAGCAATACTAGAAACGTTACTCCGTGAAATTTGTTAGCTCGGTATGGATAAGAAAGTGCGAGTGCAAGTTGGACGGAACTTTTATCAGGAAAAGAAAAAGACCGGCTTTTCTCTTCCAACGAAAAGCTTTTAATAGTTGCCTTCCGACTTTTTCTCTCGAATCGTTTCCCACCTACTACAAGCACGCTTTCGCAATTACTTTTTAATTCTAACGAACGTTAGTCAAACTCGTTTCTTCCTTGCCTTCTTCTTCCGTGTAGAAAATGTGTCGATTGGTCGCGACGTCACCTCACTCCCGCGGTGCTTGCAGATTTTCTCTTGTGAATCGAATAATCGACTGCAATGCACAACGGAATTGAGAAGACAACGCGTTCTTTAAAAGTCCATCTCGAGTCTTCGATGTCGATTTATCGATACTTTTTCTTTTTTCATCTTCTTTTTCTTCTTTTCATTTCCCAAAGGAGAATCTTCTTACATCCTTTGCACGTTGTTTCTTCCTTTTTGCTCATCTTCCTCTCTCTCTCTCTCTCTCTCTCTCTCTCTCTTTTGTTACAAAAAACGTAAACATTCGACTTTGCGAGAGTCCCGAAAGCGATAACCTCGTTAAAGGACGCTCTTTTCGTCATTGTTTTCTTACTACTACGTAGGTATACACATCTGGAACCTCTTGGAATTGAAAATACATTAAATTACTACTTCAGTCTGTCGTCGTCCGTTGGATCGATCGAACGAAAATAAGATAAGAGCGAGCTAGTATAGATTTCGAGGCTTTTTTTCCAAGCTGATTTTCAACAGACAGATGATATTCGATTAAATCGATACCGTGAATGGTATGTACATCTAAATACATTATTAGAAAAGAAAAAAAAAACCTTGATTAATATTTCAATCAGATTAGTTAGTTATCGGTCTCTCGCGTTAATAGGAACGACGTTCTATCGTTGCGTGAAATCGTTCGATGTAAACCGATCAATGTAAAAACGTAATCTAATCGACGCATTGTTTTGACAATGAACCGTACTGACGTATCGCCTCTGACAAATTACATCTGCCTCTGTCGTTGTCATTTTGGCTGCAATAAGAACCTTCTACGAGAAAATTCTTCGATAAAATATATTCTTCTATGTATATTTGTACGTCACAAAGAAAATCATTCTTACGTACGTCCGTTATTTAAATAATGTATCGAGTTATAAATAAGTTACATCTTTTAGAAAAACTATTTACGTCTCGATAAAATCAATGAGACAACAATTATATGTACCGTGTGTTTACGTTGGTCTTACAATCGTAGAAACTTTTAACTTGTCGATCGATCGACAAATTACTCTTGAGTTTATCTAGGAATACTCTCTAGTAATATCCCAATATTGTATATACTTATCCGAGAATAGTAATAAGAGCCGTAGAGCGTCGCGTAGTCTTTGAAAAGAAATTTAATAATCGCAATGATAAAAACATTAAACGCGCTTTTACCTTGGGTATCTTGGTGCGAGAGGAGAAGAGAGGGAAGAAATATGAAAAAAACCTTATACAAATTATTCCTTTTTCCGAGAAATATCATATCTCTCCTTTTCACTCTTTCTAAAGTAGAAGCAGGGTGCTTTTGGTAATATTTCGCATGGATAAACTTTGTTTTAATATCGTTCTTTTCCTCGGACTTGCTCTTTCTCTCTCACTCTCTCTCTCTCAACATTTTTATGGGTTCGGCGAGAACACGAAGGAGAAGAAAAAAAGGAAAATTTCGTTACACAATATGCTATACACTTTATATCGGAAGAATAAGGAGCCGTGAAAAAGGTTAAACTTGTTACGCATGGCCGAAACGAAGAGGAAACGTCATCGTCGAGTTTTGATGCTCGCCCAGTTGCATTCGCTAAAAACTCGAGCAAGCAACCATCGAGCGAAAGAAAGATCCTGGAAAAAAGTGCTTCCTTTGGCTCGCTCGTCGAAGAAAAACAGTTCGCGAATTAAGAGACAAACTAGAGATGAAATTACGCTCGCTCGACGATTCCTGCGTTCTCTCTCTTTTTCTTCTTTATATTTTGTCGTTCTCTCTCTTTCTCTCTCTCTACGTTTTGAAATAAGACCTTCTTCGGTCAGACTCGATCGCCACAATTTTTTTTACGTTCTTCGTATTATTCGAAGGAAACAAATTTATCGGCATTATTTCGTTGTTGCATCTTCTTTTCATTCGTCTTGTTATTAATGAACCGTTTTAATGCAAAGATTTTCGCCTATCTATTGAATAACAAAAGACATCAATTATATATTCGGTCGAGCGATTTCCTCATTCGTAACGACGCCGCGCGTTCGTCATTAAAAGTGTAAAGTTGGAGATTAAGAGTAGCGAGCGGTGAAATGTGATCAATTTTAAATCACGGAAAAATGATGGGTCCATGCGATGATATAAGATAGAACCGACGACAAGGACGACAAGTGAAAGAAACGAATCGCGTTCTCTCTTTAATCGATCCACCATTCGCCATCGAGGTCCTCCTCTTTGGTTTTTCTATTTGCATTCGTAATATCGAGAGTGCAAAAAATTTGCTCGCGTGAAAAAGTTGTTATCCAATGGGACTCCTTGGACTTCACCATCGATGCTCCTCGTTGACCCTTGAAATTTCTTCGTCGCCTTCTATTCGTAATTACGTACTTTAAAAAAGGAAAACTAGGAACAAACGATACGAACAAAATCAAGCCCGCCTCGACGTTAACCCTTAGGATCCCTCGGATAAGATAACGTGTACGTAATTCCATTCAAGATTTCGAAGAGTTTATCGTGAAAAATCCTCACATTGTTTTCGATGTTTGCGTGAAAACTTTTTCCCATAGGCGAATTTTCCTCCAAGATCTCGAGGGATATATACGGCCTCCGTTACTTTCCTCTTATTTTCAACCACGGTCAACGTGCTTTTCGACGATTTCGAAAGCTGACCGAAGCGGACAAAAAACGTACTCTCGGCCAGCCATTATTTTATTCTCTCTTGACCTAGAGCCAGCAGCGCTGTTTCTCGCCGTTTACCTCCACGAGCACGCTCTACTGGACGTTGGCCAATTTCTGTCGCTATCGGGGATTCCTCCCTTTTCGTTTTTTACTATAAATTACCGATATCAATAAAGTACATACACGCGAGTAAGCGACGAGTCGACGCTTCGAAAACATCGCGAAACTTTTGATTAGAGAAGAAACTTGATATGCGAACGCGCGGGGGTGTTGCGTCTCCTCCTACTGTTGTTGCCGCTGCTGTCGTCGTCGTCGTCGTCGTCGTCGTCGTCGTCGTCGTCGTCGTCGTCGTCGTCGTCGTGATGGTCGTTTAGAATCTCGCGTCTCGACGTCTCACTCGGTTCACAATCGGAGAAGCGTCGCAGCGCACGGCGACCGATCGATGCGTTCTTTTGTCGTAAGCACTCGTCTCTTTCTCTTTCTCTTACTCACTCGTCTGCTGTCTCCGTGCTTCAAAAGCTACGTGTAGCGAGAGGAAACTACGTGTGCGCGCGAGCGAGCAAGCAAGCAAATAAACGAGGAAATATGAAAGAGAAGATATGAGAGAGAGAATGAAAGGAGAAATTTCATGCGAAGAAAAGCAGCAGCGTGCGAGAGTTCGGCAATTGCCAAGAGTCGCTCGTGCGCGTCTCTGTCGTCGCAAAGCGTCGTTCCTCTCTCTGTCTCTCCTCTCTCTCTCTCTCTCTCTCTCTCTCTCTCTCTCTCTCTCTCTCTCTCGGAAAGGCAGCCAAGAAGAGAGTTTCGTCGAGTATGCAAATTTTCTCTTCGCAGTCTTTCGATATGTGACGTCACAAAGGGAAGAGCCGGCCGTCGTCTTTTTTTACTCGTTTCCCTTTGAAGAAGCTATAAGAAAAAGAAGAGAAGATTGAAGAAAAAGAAGGGCGACTCGACTCACCGTGCAAGGGTTTGGGAACATAAAGGTTGAGATAGAGACAGTCTTCGCTCCGATTGGCCAAGAGAGGCGCTATCCTCTGAAGATAGGCACGCCTGGTTTTCGGTAGGCTCTCGTCCGGTTCCGGGGGATTCTGAGGGCAAGCCGGTGGTAGGGTGTCGGCGAACTTGGTGCCACGCCAGGGCGTCGGAGTGACGGGTGGCATATATCGTAGAGATCCGAGCGGCGGTGTCGCGTAAGGCACGCCGTAATAGGTCTCGACGTTCGGCGACGATCTCGCGACGACTCCTCGAAGGGTCCCGTATCTCGTCGTGACCGTACGAGTGCTGTACTTTTGATTGGCCGCCAAAGCGTCCGCGAGACTTTCTCGACATTGACCGGCAAGTAGCAAAGTACCGATGATCGCGAATAGCAAGGCCGTCGGCAATCCGCGACTAGTACCTGCGTTTTTCCTTCGGGAACTTTGCCGAAGAGCTTCCTTATCCTCGAACTCGAGGAGATCCTTTGGGATTCGCGACTCGGGCTCCTCTCTCGTCTTCCTCTTCCTCGGAAACGAGGAGGAGGACGTCCGCATCGCGTCACGCCGCCGCGGACTCGCCGCCGCGCCGGGCCCCGCATCTGTGGGGCCCTTCCCACCCTCTTCCTCCTTCTCCTCCTCGTACCTCGCTGACCTCCTCCTCCTCCTCCCCCTCCTCCTCCGTCTCCTCCAGCTTTTTCCTCTCTTCCACAACTCGGGCACTCTCCTCGTATTCTCGATATCCGCCGCTCGGTTCTGCTACCACACTGATCCTATCCGCGCGAATCCTCACTTCCATTCTCAAGGGCGTACCTGCTCGTACGTCTAGGACGACGACGACGATCCTCCGCGAGCGGTCGCGGAGCTCGAAAGTCGTCCTCCTCCTCCTCCTCCTCCTCCTCTTCTTCCTCCGCTTCCTCTTCTTCCTACTTCTTAAAACTTCCCCGTTTAATTTTCTTTTCCTCCGTCCCTCCACGAACAATCCCTCCAAATGGGAGGAGGATCATCGAGAGACCTACGAATTCCTTTTATCTTCTTCTATCGAAGAGACCGCCGCGCATCAGGATCGTCTGCAACAAGGACGGAGACTCGTCGTTACGCCGATGCCTTGTCCCCGGAGTGATAACTTCGAATTAAGGTCGAGCGAGATGACAGGAACGAAATATCGGGCGGAATTAATGAGAGAAAGAGACAAAAAAATCAGAGAGTACTTCGTCTCCGATGATACGAGAGACAGCGAGGAGATACGTAAAAAATAGGTCGGCTGTCGTTGACACGACAGTGTCTGTGTGTATATCTTTATATGCATATATGCATATCTATATATATATAATGTATGTGTGTGTGTGTGTGTGTGTATAGAAAGAGAGAGAGGGAGAAGGAGGTCTGTTTTTAATGCAAGGGCTTTCAATTTTTATAATCAAAACGCGAGTCCTACGAAAAAATATAACATACATTCCAATAGATTTACCAAGAGCCCTCGAAATTTTTCACGAAATAACGAACGTAATGAGAAGATTATTCAAAATGAAACGAAAAGAAAGTATTATGCTCGAGTAGTTCGACAAACCTGCCATTCCATTGGAAAATCATTGCGAGATATCGGAAAGCAACGGTACGGCGAAATGCATTTAAATTTAACCGAAGAGATTCGATAAACAGGTCGTATGATTTTATGCGCGGCTCTTCCGCACGCGGTAGTATACACGATATTATTACGGCGTTATATCGTCGAGGAAGAAATCTCAAACTCAATGATTCGAATATTTCAAATCGACTTTATGGACCGACTCTCTCTCTCTCTCTCTCTCGCATAATCAAATTTAATAAGGTGTCGGAGAAAAGAAAATCAACGCTTTAGCTTTCGAAGAAAGTTTCCTCCCGTCGGGTTCGCAAAGCAAATTAATAAAAATGGATAAACGCGTGGGCGAAACGACCATAGAAAACTTATCATCCGTCAGAGGCTTCCTTCCAAGTTCCTCGGTTTCTATCCGAGAGGCTTTGCAAGTTGGAAAAGAGGATCGATCTGTCCTCGGATTATATTACGAGCTAGCGGTGTGACGTTCGTTCCAGAGTATTTGAGTAAATATCGAAAAAGTATAAGGAAGAAAAGATCTTGGAGGAAAATAAAACAAAAGAGAGAAAAGGTTCTTTAAACCGCTCTTAACTATCCATCGATCAATCCTCGATATCTCTTAATTATCCTATCTCGGATTATTCGATCGTCTCGTATTCGAGCGTACGCGTTAGCTTTAAACCTCTTAACGGGTTTCTCTATCGATCCTGCGGCAACGTCGTCTTATTATTCAGAAAATTTTCGAATAGACAAATGAAGAATCTTCTTCAAGTCGATTTTACGTAGAACGTAATACGTAGATATTATACGTAGAACGATATACGTAGATAAGGTGGGTTAAAACGTTCCGTCGGCAAATCTTTTCAAAGAGATTCCACGTGATTAATTTAGCCCGATCTTTAGGCGAACTTCGATGTCTCGATAATTATTAACGTTAGATAAGAAAAATCTTTTGCAAAAGTCTTTTCGTTTAGGGAAACGATTGAACGTAAGAAACGAAAAAGAGTAATAAAGAAAGCAGCGAGTAATCGTAGATTTACACGGCTCGTTTAACTTTAATCTAATCCAAAGTTAAACCGACGGCAGTGGCGGCGCTTCAACTTGGCGGAAACCAAACTCCGTGGCGCGCGGCGAATCCATTTTATTCGCCAACTCTCGCGCGAGACTCGTAACTTGGAAAGGAAATTGGTAGCAAGTACCGCAAAAGCGAATATAACATCTTTATATCGTTTATCTTAAGACTTTAAACACCTTTCGGTATTGGATGTTTTCCATCCGATTGCTACGATCCTTCTTTCAGCATCGAGCCGCTGAATGAGATCCTCGAGCGTGTTACGACATGATTTAGGATCTCGTGATGCAATAGGGATGCGCCTATCCCTTCAAGGACACGACGAAAAAGTCGTCGCGCTCGATCACGTTCTATTCCAGTTTCACATCGCACTCGTGCGTGTCAAGAAGCTTTTTTTTCTCTTCGAAACAAGTCTTTTCGGACACATCACCATCGAGAACACCTGCCAGCACCACCGGCACTGTTACGATCATTTTAATCGATGATCGATTCTAACGCGTCATCTCACTTTCGCGGGAGAAAGCTGCGATGGACGTGTGTGATAGAAAACACAACCACCTCGAGCAGGGAGACGAGCCGCAGCAAGGGTGCGCGCGATTGGCTGTCTGTCCCGGGCTCTACTGCCGCGCGAGGAGCCGTCGTACGACCCCCGTGAAGGTGGCAATGGAGGTGGTGGTGGTGGTGGTGATGGTGATGGTGGTGGTGGTGGTGGTGGTGGTGATGCCGCCGCCGCCACCTTTGCCGCCGTTGCCGCCGCCGCCGCCGCCGCCGTCGCCGCCGTTGCTGCTGCTGCTGCTGCTGCTGCTGCTGCTGCTGCTGCTGCTGCTGCTGCTGCTGCTGCTGCTGCTGCTGCTGCTGCTGCTGCTGCTGATGCCGATGCTGATGCCGATGCTGATGCTGGTGGTGGAAGTGGCGATGGAGGAGGATGGTCCGGCACTCGAGGAAGCCGGGGCATCTACAGCGCCGACGCCTGCTTTCGTACCGACCACCAGTCCGGTCGATAACGCCACGGCAACCCCCGGCTGCTTCCGACTCTCCTCTTCCACCCCCACCTACGCCTACACTTACTCCTCTCTCTTCTCGTCTCGTCTCGTCTCGTCTTCTCCTCGCGTGTTCTACTTCGTCTTCTACTGCCGATGCTGATGCTGCTAGCGCACACCTCTCGCCTTCTAGGTCCTTTCTCGGAGCAGCTCGCAAAGAGCGAGAGCGAAGGCTTTCCTTTCGTTCCTCTTTGAGCTATCCGACGTGATCCACGGACCATGACGAAAGTCAGACTGGATGAATAACCACGACTACCTACCACTTAGCTACCCTACTTTCCTCCGATCCATCTATACGCCGTGTCGTTCGTTTCAACCTTTTCAAACCTTTTCCGTTCGTTGAGATTCGACCGATCAAACCATTTGTCCCTCAATACTTCCTCTCTCTCCCTCCCTCCCTATCTATCTATCTATCTATCTATCTAGCCATCTATCTCCTTAGAATAAGCCTGCTAACTTTTTCTTATCTTATATCGATCGAGAGAGTCAAAGAAGGAATTAATTAACGACTTCTCGCGGCATCGTTGAAATTTCACTGCCTCCGGCGAGCAGACCGTTCGGAACAGGCAAGTAATTCAGCTCACCGCTTGAAACGACCAGCAGTCGGTGGAACCGAAACGAAGCGGAAAATTTGATTAACTTCGGATAGAGTTCTTCCTTTGGATAGAACCGAGAATCGAAGGGATCGAATTAACGACGAAAGACTTCTTCGTCAGATTTTCTCGACGGCTCTCTCTCTCTCTCTCTCTCTGTCTCTTTCTGATCCTTTGACTGACTTTAAAGAGAAAGCCTCGTCAAAGAGTCGATAGACCGAAACGCCTGACATCGCTGACGTCTAACGAACTATAACATGACGGTAGGAGTAATACGGGAATCGACCTATGACTCGTCTAAAAAGTTTTATTTGATTTTTAAGAAAACAATATGTCCGTCTACGACGAACTCTTAAATGCCGGATGGGAATCGTGAACACTGGAGGATAATAAAAAGAGTCCAAAGAGAGAGAGAGAGAGAGAGAGAGAAGAATCGAAATAACAATTTCGTCCGGTGCGATGCCCGAAGCGCGAACGTGCGCGAGAACGTGGCTCGACGGAAATTGCCTCGTTATCGTCGACGTCTCCGTTATTTACGACCCTTAACGAGCGAAAGCTTACGCTCGCTCCTCTTCTGCTCGTCAGAGAGCTAACGCCGAGACACGGCTACCCTCTTTTCTTCCAACCTCTTCCGCCTCCTCCTCCTCCTTTTTTCTCTTCGGACCTCTCCTATTTTCTCTTCTCTTCTCTTCTCCTTCCTCCAAATACCCTCTTCGATCGCCCGTTCCTCGCGAGATTACCGCGAGATTAATTATGGTCAGTTTCGTTCTCGTCGCATACCATTCTCAACGACGATCCTACTTCCCTTTTTCATGACTTTTCACGACCCAGGAGCACGACAAGGCGACTTTTTCCTTGGTCGAACCTCAACCCCGTTTCTATCCTCGTCGATCAAACCGTGATTATAAATTGAAAAGGACCAAGGAAAAAAAAAGAAAAAAGAGGATCGTTTAATCCGCGTCGAGCACGCGATACGATCTCGCTTGTTTCAAGAGATTTGTGTGTGTATGAGAGAGAGAGAGAGAGAGAGAGAGAGAGAAAAAGGATAAGTGGCGAAAGTAAACGATCGAGAAATCGGATACGACCAATTTACGCTGTAAAGAAGCGCCGTTAATTAACGTGTAACTTGAGAGTAGTTAATTTGTAAACATCGTACCGCCTAGGACTGAAGGGGAAAAGAGAGAAAACGATGAAACTAGGAAGGAAAATCCGCTCGATTTACGGTTGCCGCCGTCGTCCTGACGCTTTTATGGCGTTCGAGCATGAAAGTGCGTCGACGCTTCGAGGTGAGATTAATAAGAAGGCGAAGTGTTTCGTAACGTTAAAACTCTTATACCACTCGGCTTCGAGCCTTTACACATTATTTAATCCTCATTCCTCTTTGGTTTTACTCGGCATGGGTCGTTTTAAATGTGCAATAGCTTTGAACTCGCAAATCGTTTTAACGGCAAAAGCTGCGACAAGGAGTAGCTGCGAGAAAAAGCTGATTTATGGCTCGTCCTTTCCTTCTACCTTCTCGCGCAGGGAAAAAATCACCCTGTTGTTTCTTCGAACGGTTCACGCTCGGCGTTCTTATCTTGCGGTGAGTGGCGATAGTAAAGGTTGGCTGGTAGTAAAGGTTTGGCAAAAATTTCCCTGACGAGGAAAGAAATTTGATAACTGGCCGAACGAATGAACGAACGAACGAAATAACTAGGCCGCGAACGAACGCCTGGGACGCGCGAATAACGCGATTTATGCGGGCACGAATCGAACGTTATCGAGCGCGTACGAGAACGGGTACGAGAGAGCTTGGATTCGTGCGGTTCGGGAATTTTCGTTACTTATTATCGAACGATCGCTCTCGTTCGGCAATTCGGTTAGGCGTTCCATCGCTTTTATTTACTAGATTTTCGCGTAAATGCTTTAGCAAGGGCGATGCTTCAAGGAAAATTCTTCGATAACGTAAAAATAACTGAATAAACGTGGAAAGTAAAAAGTGCGTTATCGAGAGAACAAAAAGCGAGAGGTGAGAAACGGAAAGGAAAAATAATAATCGTTTTCCTAGCGACGTGAAAGGTTCGCATCGATGGTTTCTCCGTGTCGGTCTACTCTAGAGAAAGCAACGTAAAAGCGTTCCGGGGGGTGCCAATATAAATCGGCCCGCGAAGAGAGTAAACCGCGCGCGGGAGACTCCTACGTTCACCATCTATCTCTCACCATCTATCTCTCTCTCCGTCCCCCTCCTTCTCGGGAAAAGCGCGGACAAAAGTTTTATAGCTCGATGATGGCCACGGCGCGGCCACAGTTCAGTGATTCTTGCCCTCCGCGAGAAATCTCCGCTGCTATCAAAATAAACGCTTTTCCATCGATTAGGATAAACTTTTACCGTTTTCGAGATATCGAGTCTGTTTTATTCGTAAGGGAGAAAGTAAAGATGAGAAATAAATTTTTGATTTATTAACGCGTCGCTGATCGCACTTTGAACAATGAAGGGAAACAAAGACGTACGACCCTGTTTGAAATTGGAACTTTCAAAGTTGAGCGTAGATTTTAGACCGGCTACAAAAGGACAAAGGTCGTAAAGTATGAAATTTAAATAAGGCCAGACAACAATAGGTGCACTCAAGCAACCACCGAGCTCCCGGATTCTATCTCGTGAAGCCAGTTGGATGGCGACTGCGTGTTAGATAATTTATCTATATATGTGTGTGTGTGTGTGTGTGTGTATATATATATATATATATATATATATATATATATATATATAAGATATATTTCTATTCGCCAGAGTATTTCACGCACAAAACTATCCACTTATGCGCGCTCGTCCAATTTACAAGATCTCCTTGTTGCCGCGATCAACGGGATGACGAGAGGGAGAGAGATGACTAACGGGAAATAAAATCAAAGTCGCGTATATTTTACCCTCGTCGTTATTTCTATCATAGAGAAATATAGGAGACCATAAAATTATTTCATTTCCTACGAATCGGAAGTAGATATTTTGAGGATGAAAAGCAAAAGTATAGGAACGCGAGTCGTAAAAATTCGCTGGACTCGAAATACGAGTATCTTTTTCTAAACATCCTTTCGAGCAATGGAGATAACGTGATAATGAATGGCCGTGTACGAAGGTAGGTACGTACGAACGTACGAAATAAAAGGGAACAAAAATGGATGACGGAAAAGAAGGTGAATAGAGGGAACACGTTCGCACAGCGGTCGAGAAATATAAATCGATGCCACGTCCGAGAGAAAGCATGGCCTCTCGCAGACACGATCGTCTTGACGACTCTGCTGCAATAATATACGAGCGTCGTAAATTTTACCAAGAGGTTACTTTACCGAATAGTAACTTTCTCCTTGCTACTAGCTTCTATCGGCCTTGCGCGTTCTTCCCTTCCTTTCCTTTTTACCAAGATCCTCGCAAAATGTTTGGGAAGAGTTGTTAAAGATCTCGGAGGGGGGGGGGAAGAGAAAGCAATCTAGTACTACGTTACTCGGAAGAAAAGTGAAAAGCAAAATTTCTCTCTTTCGGAAAAAAAGGGTTCTTTTCAATTTTTAATCCTCCAGACAGTCGAGAAAATGATATTATACATATATATATATATATATATATATATATATATATATATATATATAGAGAGAGAGAGAGAGAGAGAGAGAGAGAGAGAGAGAGAGATGAAAAAAGAAAGCGCGCTCGTCGTGTGCTTCGAACGCGTCATAGGTAACTTGGCTGTTCGATAAGATCGTTCCTAGGATCGAGCTCGTTACATAGACGATAAGGTAGACATCGTTACTCGGCTGGCATTACTTCCGGAAATATATCAACGACAGGTGGTACGACAAGCGGAAACGTAAACGATCGTGACATACGATGCGTGGCTTAATCGCGTCGGACGATGACGTTCCATGAATGAGAACGTATGCGGTTCCAGCGCGTACTATTACTATTTCCATCCGATATAGCTAATCCGCCGATTTAACTAAGACTTCCGATCTTAATTCGCTACCTTACCGCTCGAATCGAAAATAAATCACTGGATCGTCAATCGCTTCGAACATTTCGATTCTAATATCGATAACGAGTATCAAGGGAAAAATTATGAATGATTTCAGATAAATGATATCACGCTGTTCTTCGTAGATCGAAGTATTCGTTCGAGTTTGCAAACTTATTTATGCGTTCGAATCGGTCGATGAAGCTCCAAAGTGTTGTTCTTAAAATCGATAAAATATTTCTCTTCGAAGCAATTCCAATAGCATAGGAGAAAATAGCGTACCGTTAAGCTACACCGCGTTGGATTTCCTTCTTTCTTTTCCTATTTCTCGTAGACTCGATTCCTAGGACGACGAGAAAAGAGAGATAAAGAGTAAAGAAAAAAAGAAAAAAGATGAAGGAAAAGAAAAAGGAAAAGTCGATGAGAAAGGTGGCGGAAAAAGGGCGGATGGCAGCCTCAAAGATATAGACCGTGGGTTGTAGTCGGTTGGGAAGGGAAGATTTTCGGACCGGAGATTGGCCCTCGTAAAGTTCGCTTGGGAAGAACGCCAGACTTTGCGAAGAGAGCGAAGCACGTGGAACGACGAATCGCAGCCGGCTTCGAATTTAAGCCTTCCTTCCAACCATCTGCACGTTCCTATCCTTTTCGTTTTTATTCGAAAATAGCCTCGGTTTCGTTCTTATTTCCACTTAATTATTTCCCCTTGTCTTCGTCTACGTAGCTAGAAATCGCGAAATGTTGAAACTCCGTCCATTTTGCTATCGAAATGAAATGGGATTCAGTCGCTGTAGACGTCTACGAGCGCACATAATGCATGGCTTTCTCGCAAATTACAACCGATTAATCCGCGCTAATGAAGCCGAACGTCGAAATGTAAATAAGTAATTCTCGCATAAGATGTTGCTAAAACTTGTTCCTAATGATGCGTGCTTAAATTATATTAGGGAACATTATATATATATATATATATATATATATATTATATTTCGATATGTATATTGCGATACGCTAACAGCACGTAGGGACGCACGAGGAAATGGTAAGGAGAAGGGGTGGAACACAAATTTTAGGAATGCGATCCTTTTGTCCCAAATAGCAATTTTTCCCCTCCGAACTGTGTGACTTACCTGCCACGTATATCCTCATTTAAAGTTTTGAAAAGCGGGGAGTAGTCCGTCGGGTAAGAATCCTACCGGACAGGATTAGGCACTTTGTAAACTTTTGCCACGATGGCTAATCGACGCCAACGTACCTAGGTATATACCGAAGAAATATATCGAGGATCCCTCGCAAAGGCCTACACTCAGTCTGTCGTGCGGTTCTACCACGAGAAAATCCATTTCGAACGCGTCGCTTTGCGGTCCTGCAAATCCAATTCCATCCATTCAACGTCTTTATATTCCTCTCTCTCCCACACACCCTCTCCATGTCGACACGAACCGCGGTGTACCGCCGTTCTCACGGTTGTTAATTGTTATCGTTGCGATCGATCGAACGAGAATTATCAAAAGTGAAAGTATTTGAACGAAATTTATCGTTAAAATATAAACTCGTACTTTCGAAGAAATTAGTGTAATCGGTTTGTTTGTTTTCTCGTATGACTCGTAGACGAGAGTTTGATGGATTAAAAAAGGGGATGACGCAAGACAAGAAAAGAGGACAAAGCGAAAATTTGCTTATGCACCGTGCCTGAAAATACGAAACGCGAGGATGAAGAGCTTTGTACGCGGATTACCGTCGTCGTCCGTCTTGCTACGTCTCCTCCTTATATTCCTCTTGATCGTGGCGCACCACGGGCGAGCCGAAATGGAAGAGAGCAACGGCGATCCTATCGCTTTGTTGCACAAGACCTTGAAATACTGGCGCTGGATCTACGAGACTTATCGCGAGGAAATAAAGTTGGGTTATTGCTGGGCCGATTATTTTCTCGGATCGAACGACATTGAGACCGATTTCATCTCGCGTATCATCGAGAACGAGTTAACGAACTTGAAAGAAATGTCGATTCGAAGAAAATGCAAGAACGATTCGAGATACTGCGAAGAGGATTTTTCTTATGGAAATCCTTCCCGGTACGGCATTGACGCTAAATCATCGTTTCGTCAGAATTACGTAGAAGAAGGAAGCTCGAAAAAGGATTTCGAAGAAATTTCTCGAGCGAATATCGAAGAGAGATATCCTCTTCCCCAACGAGCGACTATCGATCAGGAAGGTAATTTGGAAAATGGTTTAAACCATTGGTCGACTCTCCCGAATTATCCTTCTCAATTTACTTCGAGATCGAGCGATAAACGTTCACGTCGTTGGAGCGACCACGAAGCTGCTGCTGCTGCTGCTGCTGCATCCGTCAAAGTCGCTTATCAAGGATATTCCGTAAAGCCGAAAGTTTTCTCCTTGTTAAATAAAAAGTTAACTATGGATCGTGAATCTTCCTCGAGTGAAACATCGTCCTCGACGGATACGGACGTAGCAGGGCATTTGGGATTTTTGTCTTCTCGAAAAGTTTCCGTTCTAGATAAAGGGATGGCTCGTCGATCCTCGTATTTCGATAAAACCGATCGCGAAGAAACAACGGCTTTGTCGTTATCCGTAGAGAAATATGAACGCAACCTGGACACTTTGAACGTTACCGTCGACCAAAATCGAGATCGGCGATCTTTGAAAAAGAATTTGAAAGCTCGAAGCGGTCGATCGTTTACGAGTATCCTATCGACAACGGCCGAGCATCCAATTTTTATCGAAATTTTAAGGACTTTAACTGTATTAGCTCGCATGGGTCAACTGATAATAGATATCGTAGACTCAAGCGAGGTTCTCAGATGTACCAGAGACTATATCTTGAAGAAGACGATCGAATGGATAGACGCATAGGGAGGGTGGGTAACACCTTATCGAGGGATCTTGTTTTTAAAACGATCAACTATCTTTATTGTAATTATATTTCACGCGTGTATTTGTGTAAAAAGTTACAAAATAATATTAAGTAGTAATGATATCATAACCGAGATCGAACGTTCGAATATTAATTTTAATAAAACTGTTGCGTACCCGATGAAAATTCGGGTTTCTAATTCGTTTTTATCAATACGAACAAATTATATCGTGTTTAGATAGCAGTACGTCTCCTCCACTAATTTACGATAGGATCTACGATATATTCGTGGCCCCGTGATCCGATTTACACAACGAATAATCCATATCCTCGTATTCCCCGTTGTTGTTAGAGGGAGAACGCATCACGGGGACAATTTACCATTGTATCTCTCCGTAGAATACGGAGAGGGTTGGCGATCGTTTAGACCGATATACTCGAATTCACTCGAGGAAGGGACGCTACCTCGATGGGATTGGTTCGCCTTCGAGATGCACAATTAAGAGGCTCAAAGAGAACGGATCGAACCTTCGAGAGAACGAGAGCTAGAGGGTGAGATGAGGAATGTAAGGAGGGATAAACAGGGAAAGAGGCGCCGATGGGTCTACGCTAGCAGTCGATATAGTCGGAACGCAAGGAATGAATTTTTGAAACCACCTGTTGCTATAACCGCTGCCTTTCCGCTTAGACTTCCTCTTCCTCTTCCCCTTCCTCTTCCCGTTCCTCTTCCTCTTCCTCATCCTCATCCTCGGTAGCATTCCCCGACATCGTCGTTGACCCCGCGAAACTCGGCCCTCGAACTCGGATCGATATCGAATATTGAAACAAACCAGCTAGCGAATTCGAAATTGAATCAAACTTCTTCTCGAGAGAATTTTCGAGGAGTGCGAAATATCTCTTCGTTCTTGGTCGAGAAGAAGACGAGCACTGAAGAAGACCGTTCCAGCACCAGCTAGAAAATGGTTAAGTGAAACGAGCTCGTAGTCTTTGGGGTTTGCGCAAACATCGGTAGTTACAATAGGGCACCTTTCATACGTGAAAGGGTCCGAGCACTCTAAGGAAATGAAAAACGAGGGCTCGGTTATAGAGACAAGAATATGGCCGGATCTCAAAGAGTCCTGCCGATGCTTCTCTTCCGTTGCTTTTCTACAGGGTTCGCAGAGAGAGAGAGAGAGAGGGGGGGAGAGAGAGGGAGAAGATTCGCACAGAAATGAAAGAGAGGGAAATAAAAGTGGTCAATTATATATGTGGTTGGTATTCGCGTGAAAGCTTTTCCCATCGCGGTTTGTTGACATTATGGTTGGAACCGCTCTCGTACACGTTTCTCTCGACGAAGAAGAAGGAGAAGAAGAAAGTAGGAGCAAAGAAGGAGGGATCACTCGCAGATACTCTGATACGGCGCGCGCCTTTCCTAAAAACATCGTGGCCCGGCTCCATTCAAAGAGATATTCATTATTAAGAATCTCTTAAGCAGAGAGAAAAGAAAGTCGAGACGACCGCGGCGGCGTTCGAAATAAGAACCCAGATAGGGGAAGAATAGCATGAAAGCTCTTCTTCGTACGTTCTTTTGCAACTTTCGCGAGAAAGGCAGTCTGCCTCCCTATCTATTTCCTATTTTCCTGTCTTTTCAATCTTGGTATACCTACCTATGGCTACTGCGCGTCTATTCATACGACCTATCGAAGAAGCGACACACATTGCACGTATCTTTGAAATATAAACATCCGCGTCCAAACTCTTCGATATTTCATTCTTAATTAAAAGGAACAAGCGAGGTATGGCGCCAGTCAAGAGAAAGATCCAGTCGGTTTTTTAATAGCTACTCTCTCGTATCTTGAATCGTTTAAAAGATATTCCACTACTTAAGACGTATGCATTTCTCTTGATATATTTAGGTAGATTCCTTTTCAACGCTTCTAGGTACCTTCTATCGTTTCCTCACAGAACAGGGTATAACAGATCGCGACGATTGGATTAATCAACGAAATCTATTAGAGAAGATGTCAGCTACTTTTCTCGCGACTCTCTTCCCATCCCATTTGATTTTCAAGGACGACGTCTCTTTCTCGGCGCAGTCTCTCGTATCCGAAGGACTTTGATATCGTCTCGGACAAATCTTCTTACGAGTTTTCCTCTATCTCGGGGCACGTATAATGCCTTCTTCTTCCTCTTCTTCTATCTCTCCGCGATAACATTAATGAAATTCTATCGCGCGTTAAGACGAGACTCGCTCATTGTCAGTCTCGTCTTCTCGGCTTTCCATTGATTGCTTGCGTCGGCGTTGTCCTAATAAAATTCTTGAAATTTTCTTTTCTTCTACCTTTTTTCTTTTTCCTTCTTTCGACGTGGAAAACTGCTAAATCGAGAAAGGTGAACGTGCGTTTTCTCCATTCTCGAGCATCGCTTTTCTTTAATGGAAAAAGGGTCGTACCAATGAAAGTATATCTTCCTTTAACGAGAAAAAGGAAAAGTTTTTCGAACGAGCTTTCTATGCACGCGCGCGCGCGGTCCTTTAACGTAAATGAAAAATCCCAAAGAGCTTGCTTGTGCGGCTCGTTAGCGATCCTTCGCGGATTCGATTCGTCGGCGCTCGGACGCGATAAACGTTTAATCGAATCCTTCTTGACTTAAGAAAAAGAGAGAGAAGAAAAATCCTTTGTTCTCGTCGTCGTCGTCGTCGTCGTCGTCGTCGTCGTCGTCCAGCGTCACTCAACGCGGCACGAGAAAAAGGAGGAGTTTGGCCTACGCTCGATATCCATTAATTAATGAAAGGGAACCGCGGAATTTAATTCCGTTTCGTCCCATGAAGAGGCTAAAGCAGAAGATCGAAGAAAAAAAAGTCCAAACAGAGAGACTAAATGGACGAGAAAGAAGATTAGGAAGAAGAAAATAACAAGACTAGAAAAGTGAATTCCGTGAGAAGCGAAATAGTCGGGTTGCGATTAGAAGAAAAGAACACTGTAACATGCGAAACGAGGAAGACGAGGAAGCATAAGACCGTTCATCGGCCCTTCCACCGATTTGTATAATAGTTTACGCCAACAACGAGTACACACGTAATTCTTGACCGATTTTCAGGAACAAGATACCTTCTTAAAGGATGTATAGCCATTTTCTTTGATAGAAATAATAAAATTAAATCGTGCCTGTGAAACATGATGTTTTTTTAAAAATGATTTATGCATCGAAATAAAGCTTTTTACAGCCGCTATTGATTTTCGTATAAAACGCTTGACGCGTAACGACACGAAACGTGTGTTTTGCTTCCGTTCCAAGACGATCCTCAGATTTTCTGATCCATTAATTTTATTTAGTATTACTTACGATCCGTCGAAGTCTATATCTGGATTATATCAACGCAACTACTATACCGAGCTAAACTTCTAGTGGAATATTTCAGTGCGTTAACAAAATCTTTTCTTGCTACTTTTAATTGGACATTTAAAATCCTTACGTAGCTGATCATACTCTTCGTTGGACAATAGATCGATTCGATGGAATCATAAAATTGTAAATAATCTACGCGAGCTTATAAAATGATAGGGATAGTCTTATAATAGGCGTTCCCTTATTGCGTTCGTAATACGTCTTTTGCTCATATCTATCTATCTCTTAAATTTCGCTACGGACGTAAGACGATGAATATCCTTAAGACTAGATGAGAATCATGCTGATATGGTTAATGTCATGGATGCGACAGACAGGAATGCGATTTTCCTCGGGTCGAGAAAGAGTCCTAGAAACAGCCATCTTCCTTAGCGCAGAAACTAAGGCGCTCGATAATTCGATATAAAGGACGCGAGAATGCCTGCGCGAGCCCTCTTTACGACTAACTCCACGACGATTAGATCCGATATTAGATTTTCAGCTTCGACGATTCGACGAAGGCCAGAGAGAGAGAGAGAGAGAGAGAGAGAGAGAGAGGAGGGAGGGAGGAGAATGTTGGAAGGGCACGCAAAATATGCCTTAGTTCTCTTCAGCCTTTCCTTTATCTTTTTCTATCAGTCCTATAATAAAAGAGGAATTTACTATATACGAGTATGTATGTACGTACCTTTAGGGCTCTTCCTTGTCGAAAGGACAATGACTACCGAAGAAACGGTTTTTTCATCGACGTCCTTCTGAAAGAATAAAAAAGAAGAAAGAAGAAAAAAGAAAAGAACAGAAATGAAGAAAAAAGGGCGATAAAAATAGATGAACAGCCGAGGTCATTGTATCCGCCGAGGAAGAGAATTTTCAGCTCGGATTTCTCCGCGTCGGCCGGTCGCGAGTAAGAGCCGAGATTAACGCGAAACGCGTTCCATTTTATGGACGCTTGACCATAAAAACGACTTTTTACAGTGGCCCTTAATGAATTCGATTAAGTAGTCGAGGCTGACCAAATAAAAAGGAAAAGAAGAGCAACGTCTGTCACTAGCCAATGTGGTTTAACGTGTGAAATAAGCCGGTCATCGATCGATGAACACTTTCCTACTCTTTCTATCGAAATTCAATATTTTTTGAATGGACGAACCCTCTCGAAAACTATCGATCGTTGACCATTTGCCGTCCGATATCGTAGCAATTACGAAAACTTTTGATTTTTCGAAATTGCTTTCGGATATTTTCGATCCTCGTTTTCGATGCTCGCACGACGATCAATGTTAGTTATAGAAAATTGAAAACGATTCTATTTCCAGGCCACCTGTTGTAGAGAAGCCTGTAAACTCGTCCACAAACAATGACGACGTCGACGGAGGAGGAGGAGGATGAGGATGAGGATGAGGATGAGGAGAAGGACAATTCCAAAGCTTCAATCGTCGTCGTTCGTGTCAAACAAATCGTTTGGCTCTCCGTTGAATTAAACGTTTTATTAGTTAAGCGAACCTCCCTCCCTCTTTCCCCCTCTCCTTATTTCCGATAATCCGTAAAATTAGATTAGACAAACGCCGAAATACGTATGTACACCGTTTTTGCAAAGATTTTTCTTTCAGTAAGCCTTTTTAGAACACGTTTGAACGTTAACCTTTTTAGCTTGAAAGGGAACGATTTGCAATTCCGATGGCGAGTCCACGGATAGATCGTGTGTGTTAGCTCTTTGAAAAATCACGAGTAAATATTTATCAGATATAGGACCTTATTTATCAGATTAGCGAGCATAAAAAGAATATGTAAAATGGTAAATAACTTGGATAAAACTTTTATTCGATACGTGGAACGTGTCTTTTCATTGTTGACTGTATCGATAAAAGTCATCGGATTAAAATACAAATCGATCATTCGTGTTTAACCGCAACGACTCCTTTCTCCGACAGCCAGGAATTCTCGATGACGGACAAATCACGGAGGTAACACTTGCCTGTGGCAACGATTTCCGTGAACAATATCAGAGATGGTTTCGTACCGTGTAACGTCGAGGATGGATGTATAGCCACCGGCTGTTTCGAGCTTACCTATGCGGATGAATTAGAACATTCGATTAGTCCTATATATTCTTTCGATCGTTGACGATCTATACTACAGTCTTTTTATATCCTCAGGATCAAACGATTCCTTATTTATCAATACATATCAATACATGTTGAATGGAAGAGAAGTTTTAACGATATGTACCGTGACGTAGGTGTTATTATCCCTTTGTAATTCCGCTAGGTTCTCGTATAGCCCTTCGAGAAGAGCCTTCCTAAGCTGTTCCGTATTTGTTCCGCAGCTGGCCTTATCCAAATTCGCACGTTCCGCCAAAGTAGCGAGCTGCTTTCGTACCTCCGTGGCATATTCCAAATTCCGATGGTGTAGAAAATTCTCGTGGCACCAAACCTTTTTCTGACTGCCGGTGCTCGTATAACCACGAAAAACATTTAATAAGGTTACGTGGTCCCCCTCGGGAGAGGCGAATCTGTAATGTTGTTACGATCGTTGACTAGAACGTGGCCATTTATTTATAAGGAAAACGTTTAATCGAAAATTACCGTGACTTGGCGGCATAAGCCTGCTGTCTCTTGGCCGGTGGATCGGTAAATATCGATTCTCCGGACAGGAGGGCAACCACCGTCAAAGCTTCCTCGAGACATCGATGTTCTACGGAGGCTAGAATCACTTTGGTAAATCGAGGATCCAAAGGGAACAAAGACATCGTTCTTCCTAAAGTAGTCAATTGCGGCGGAGAACCTGTGAAAGGAGGATAGTCGGTCGAAGAAGAGAACGTTGGATAGGAGAGGATGGGAGGGCCCTATCGATTTTATAACTCGAATCGATACCTTTCACGGCAGCGAGCTTTTCCAAACATGTCACCGCTACGTCGACCGCCTCCTTCGGTGGTCTCTCCATAAAATCGAAGCTAGTAATATCGACGCCAATGGCGAGAAGCTGAAGAGCGACTCCAGCTAAGGAACACCTTTGTATCTCCGGCACTGGCATCTCCTTCATCCTCTCGAACTCGTCCTTTGTATAAGTCCTATAACATTTTCCCGGTGCCTCGCGAGCGGCTCTTCCTGTCCTTTGCCAAGCTTGCGCCTTTGAGATCTGTTCCACCTTCAGGACGTCCAGTCCCGTCGTTGGATGATGCGTTCTTGCTTTGACCACGCCGGTATCGATCACGTGTCGAATACCTAGGTCGACGAAGCCGTTTATACCACACTCATCGTCCATCTATCCGTTCATCTACCTTATCCATCTACCTATCCACCTATCCATCCACCCACCCACCTATCCACCCACCTATCCATCTATCTGTCCATCTACATCCGACAAGATCTAATGCTATCTAATAATATCGGAGGACTCACCACCTATCGTAACGGACGTCTCGGCAACGTTCGTCGAGAAAATAAGCTTTCGCATTCCCGTGGGGGCCGGCTTGAAGGCTTCCAACTGCTGATGAGTCGGTAGAGCCGAGTAGAGTGGAAATACCTTCAACGGTGGATATCCCTTGCCGTCCAACTGTTTGGCAACCTGTTTCGCATTAATTACGGCAGTTTCTATCTCTTCCTGTCCGGTCAAGAACACGAGAATGTCTTCGCTGGAAATGACAACAGCCCCATTTTTGTAATCCTTCGCCCTAACCGCCAGTTATATATAACTGTATATATATGTATATATGTATATATATATATACATATATATATATATATATATATATAACTGTATATATATATATATATATCACAGACACGCGCGCACACACACACACATATGTGTAACTGCAAGTATGTACGTGTACAACTCGTTATCGAAAGAAATGGCGAAACTCTTACTTGGCCGGTGTCTCCCGGTGGATTTGAAAAGCCGTGACCATGCTAGAAAAAACATAATCCTCTTGACTCTTCACAGCATGATAGATCTTCACTGGATGCTGTCGACCCTCGAGATATAGGACAGGCGCGTGGAAATACTTGGCGAACTTATCGGCGTCTATCGTCGCCGACATGACCAGCAATTTCAGTGGCGGCAAGTTCTTCAGTTTCCTCAAATTCTGCGCTCGTTTGGTGACGCCGAGAAGGACGTCCGTCTGAACGGATCTCTCGTGAGCCTCGTCCAATATCACCACCGAGTAATCCGAGAGTATCTCGTCGGTCATTGCTTCCCGTACCATCATACCGTCGGTCAGGTACTTGATCCTGGTTTGAGGTGACGTCACATCCTCGAATCGTACGCAGTAACCCACCAGCTTACCAGTTTCTACCCCCTGCTCCTGTGCTACTCTACGAGCTATGCTCACTGCGGCGACCCTTCGTGGTTGCGTTACACCCACGCGACCGCTAACACCAGCTATTCCGGAGGAGAGCAACAGTTGTGGAATTTGCGTAGTTTTGCCGCTACCGGTCTCTCCGATAATGATCAACGTACTGTATCTTCGTATCTCCTCCAAAAGTCTATAAATATCACATTTGTATAAATTTTATTTATCCTATTGTCGAACGATCGACGATGACGACGACGACGATGACGACGACGACGATGACGACGACGACAACGAGGACGATTTTCAAAACCACCTGTTACCAACATCTTTAAATAGACGCGCCCTCGAAATAACGCTATCTATCGGTAAGCATATGAATTTACAATGGCCATCGTCAATCGACTCACCGCACGGAGGCGCTGTTCAATTTTCTTTGAAGAAAAGATACAATGAAATTCCCTCTCTATCTGAGAGAGGGAGAGAAAATAGAAAGGTTAAGAAAAAATTATATGTCTCGTGTTTGAATCTCACCGTTTACGAAGCCGATAAACTGGCAGAGATTTTCTTTGTTGATGCACACTGCCGGTTCCTGGTTCTGTAGTATTCTCGACATTCGAAAAACTTGAACCACTACTCTCCTCGTGTTTCTGTACTTTGGCGGGACTCTCCCCAAAAACGACAGTGTTCGGTCGTTTCGGTGCTAATTTGGAAAAACTCGACGTACCCATAACATTGTACTTGGAGTCCGCGTTGTCGTGAACACCCATTTCAAAAGCCAACTGAAACGATATCATAAAACAATCGGAAAATGAGTCAGGCTCAGCTTACGTACCTTTTACCGGTATAATACACTCGTGCCACTCTACACTGACTCGAGCCGAGTACGATCGGCACCTCTTCTTCTTCTACTGCATGAAAAGAGGGGAGAAAGTATAAAATCATATACTTGTTTTTTTTTTTTTTTTTTTTTCTCGTTAGCCTGGTGTTGGGCAAGAAAACTAACGTGACATTTATTTCTTATTTTTCTTTTCTCTTCTTATTTTTATGTTTTCTTCGTCGTACATTTATTTCTCGCACATCACAACAACAACATATATATATATATATGTATATATTACACACGTTTACAGCATCTTACGTATATACGTCTATGCGCATACATATATACATAACATAATATATATATGTATGTATATATATACACGCACGCGTATATATTATATATATATAATTTAACGAATAATCTCATATCTATTTGTAACAACGCTTTGCGAACAAAACCAGAGGTAGAGATCAATCCACGTAGTAGGTGTCCCGCAAACGAGCGATCGTAAAAGTCCATAGTTGGTCATCGTGAAAACTTAATACGTTACTGTATATCCCACGGTTCACGGCATTAATCGACTTTCCGTATTTGGCAATATAAAATCTTGATCGGTCGACTTAGCCGCAAATCAAATAACATTCGACGTCGAACGTAAAAATATTCCATTGAAGAAATTATCACAGATTAGCACTATTTAGAAGGAAGACAACGAATGTTTTAGCGAGATTTCAAAGGAATACATATAATATTCAGCTAAATGCAGAGTATCATCGTAGCGGCCGATGAATGGGTGCTTTTGCATGCGGTGGTACCTGTAACGGGAATTAAATATCTTTTTTATCGACGGTAACGTCGAGGCAACGAGGTAGATGATATTGGTAAAAAGTTTCTCTATACGTTATACCATTGCACCAACGCGAGATAAGTAGCGATTTCTGATACTGATGTCGGATTGCGGTTGCAAAAGATCATCGACCGATAGATCCGAAGTAGACTCGGGCGACAACAATTTCTTCCTCTCCAAGCTTTCCGGGGTGTGCCGAATTTCTTCGTATTTCTCTCGTTGTCCAGGTGTCATGTTCAAGTAGCCACCACTCGTAGCCATGTCGGTCACCCAAATTGCAGCCGCGGTTATCAAAGATACTGTAATTAAATTCAATTTGATGATAATAAAAATCCAATCGATAATATTTATGTAAAATTTGATGTAAAACAAACTCACCCCAAAGCCATGCAAGGAAGAATATCTCGAGAATCATGTAACCACCACTGTCGACGATTATTCCAGCCAATATGGAAACGACAGCAAGACCAAAATTTTGTACGGACTGAGCGCTATAAAAATACAATATAAAATGATGACAATGTCTTTTGATCGGCTTTAGGATCGCTCGTTGCAACAACAACTTACATGCCATAAGCAGTTCCTAATTGATATTCCGGCGTAACGAGGGCGATCAAAGGCCATAAGCTGCTAGCAAGCATCGAATAGGCGAATCCCATGAGTATCATACAAGCGTATGGATTGACATATGTGAAGGCTAAAAGGACATGGGCCACCATCGTCGCGCATATGCTTAGAAAGACCCAAAAAACGTTTTTCCCTATTCTGTCCACGAGATAGCCCAAAACGGGAGATGCGATCGCCGATATCGAATAAATCAAGGAATTAACGGTATTGGCGCTCGAAGGATCGTACTCGTACTTCCTTTCGAAAAATACTCTGGAAAGAAACGAAAATAATAATTTCTTATTGTATCGTCCAATATTCTGGTATATAACGCGCAGTACTTACTTTCCGAGGGCGATGAAAGGAAATATCGCTACGTAGTAAGCAATGCAGATGAGCGCGATCAACCAAAATATAGGCTTAAAGTCTTTAACGTCTTTTAGACTAACTACTTCTGGTTCTTGTCCTTCTCCTCGCCTTAGCAATCTTTCAGCACGTTTATCCATAAGACCCAAAATGCAAGCGCATATCATAGAGCCCACGCAAGTAATAGCGGCAAGAAATAGAACTACGCCGATACATTCTGGGCCCGTATAATACTGAGACACGTAATTGTAAATTGGTTCCATTACCAAAAAATTCACGGTAGATCCAACACGAGCAAAACTCAATTGTAGTCCAAATACCATATTCAGTTCCTTTCCCTTAAACCAAAGTACGGCATAACTGTTCTGGGCGACTGCCAATGATTCCGCCCCTATTCTGTCGAATAAAAAGAACGTATGGACGTGTATTGTATATCTTTGCTCGTTCCCAGTTACCATATCGTCAAAAAATTCTCTATGGTGGTAAACGTACCCGAAAACGAATCTTCCAATCATCATTAACCAGAACGCATTGACCATAGCTCCGGTGGCAAAGATGACCTGTCCAATCAGGGTAAGTCCCATATATATGATGGTACCCAAACGAACGCCAAAGACGCTATCCAACAAGAATCCTCCGATGAAGCAAAGGATTACATTGGGCCAGGAATAAATGGAATATAGCAAAACAAATTTGCTGGTTGACATTTGCAAGTCTGTCTTAAAATTATCCTGCAGCGCACCGGGATTGTCGAAACAAAAATAGGATCCTGAAACACATAAAAGGGTGGGGGGTAATAGTCGAGAATTCTCGAGGAAAAGAAAAATTAAAGATCGGCAGTATTTTATTAGTGAAAAAAGCAAAAGGGACCAATGTCGATAAGAAAATGAATGTCGTCGGACAAAACGAACCGCGTTTTTACGATTTTGCGATTTATCCGAGAAACTTGCTATAAACTGCGATTCTCGAGGTCGTTTATCAAATTAGAATATTTCCTCCTGAAAAGTAGGTCATTTTCGTTCCAATCATCTGCGAGTTTCGTTATATCGTTGGCACTCCCCCCAGCCCCACTCTCTCTCTCTCTCTCTCCCACCCTTTCTATCATTTTTCTAAGGAACGAGCATACGCGTTCAATTAAACAAAGTTTCACCACGCAATCGCTTCAAACTTTGTTCTCTGATGAAACATATGGACGTTCGGATAACAAAAGAAAAAGAAAAAGAAAAAAATAAGAAACGATTAATGCTTATCTAGCAACATTTAACATCAATGTTTATCGCAAGGATGAAACTTTGGTGGATTGGATGAAGAGGAAAGAAAAAAGCGAGAGAGAGAGAGAGAGAGAGAGAGAGAGAGAGAGAATAAAAAATAAAGACAGCTAAGACGATAAGATATTAATAAGAAATGTTTCTTTGTGCAAATCCATTAAGAAATGTTCGATGCCACGTAAACGTTTACATTATTCCTATTCCTTCTTTGATTCTTTTGTTTCGACGTAAAAAGTAAACAATGGCTACTAAAAGTAGTTCGCGCGTGAGAAAAACTTGTGAAATGTATTAGAGGGGCCGTACCGAAACCAAGCAGGCACATTAATGCCAATCCGAGAAATCTGTAGGGTAGTCTTTTCGGGCTACAAAATCCTTGCAAAGCAATCTCATCTTCAGAACGGTCCAGAGTCGGGTCCACGGTTTGGTTCAGAATTTGATTCGGACTCCCTACGATTTCACCCTCCATTTCGATTTCCTCAATTTCCTCAATCTCGTCGTTGGTATCGTCGAGGCGTCCCTCGAATTAGTCCAATAATATTCCTTTTTAACGAAATTATTTCCCTATTTGGATGAGGTCGAGGCTCCACAGGTGCTGCTGCTGCTGTTGCTGGCTCGATCGCGATTTTGCGCTCCGTATCAGGCTAATTTGTCATCACAGGACTTAGTACGAACTTTGAACGCGCTCGACTTAGCGACTTAATTTTTCACGTTTAAACGATTAAAAGGACCAATTCTTTCGCGTCCGATTAAACGTATATAATTCATTCGACTGAGCGCACTTCTCCTCGTACAATTAATTGCTCGAACGAGCGAAACTAATGAAAAATTGCATCGTTCCACGTTCGTTATCTGTCAAATGCTCGTGCGTCGTACTTACACGAGCTACCGACCCATCTGTTCCGTGTGTTTGTCCGACAGCAGCCGAGCAGTATCGACGAGAAGTTTGCAACGGACGCGCGAGAAAGTTTCTAGGTTAAACGTTGGTTTAATAGATAGGGTTACCAACTTAAAAGACAAAATAACCCACGTGTTAGAAAATTTTACCACCTCTAACAACACTAACGTTTTCTCCTCCGATTTTTTTTTTTTTTTGTTAAGGATCGTCGAAAGAAATACGTGTTTTCAAATGTTTTTTCGATAAAATTTATTTATAAAAGATCTTACTTTTCGTATTCGCTTCGGGCTCCTCGCTTGATATTAATCGAGCGTAGACGATTAATATCTTAAGTATTATAGGTTAAAACCAAACAAGAAAAATACGTCGTTGAAATTAGGAAGCTACCTCTTCCGTGGCACCTTCGAATTCGAGCTTTACTTGACAATCCTCAGGTAGTCCTTCGACGTCCACCTCCGATTCGGGTGCATTTAACATGTTCAATGTAACTTCCGCGGACTTTCCGATCAGACCCTGATTACCAGCACTTTGCTGCTGTTTAGATCCCTGCTGTTGCACCACCGTAGACTGTTGACTTTGTTGTCTTATCGGCACACCTGCTTCCTCGAAAGCCTTTTTTTTCAACGTTGTCCGAATCTGTGAGCTGAAAATAATACAACGAATTGGTCAACATCTCATCAAGCCTGACTTAGAAATTGAGAGACCGTTGCGACGTCTCGACGCGGCCTCGTCCCAACTTACACCGTTCGTCCCTTGATGTGTTCGCTTATTTTGTTCAAGTCTTCGCTGAAGGTCTTTACCGAGTGACGGAGCATCTCAATTTCCTCGTCAGTCCATTTACTATCGACAGGACGTACATACATACATCGCGCATACATATATCTATGCATATATATATATATATATATGTGTGTGTGTGTGTGTGTGTGTGTGGGTGTGTGTGTGCGTGTAAAAGTTTCCAAAGAAGAAAAAAGATCGTAAAGAGCGATAAAAGAAAAATCTTTTAATTCGCTATTCGAAAAGCGCGCGCCTCGTTACGACTTTACGCGGTCTTATTGGTCCGCGTCACGAGACGCCATCCATCATGGCGACGATAAAACGCCAAACGTATGCGCGTACTAATCGAAAGAAATAAAGAGAAAAGAAAGTACTACTACGTAGGAGCGTGTGTGTCCTACGGATTAATAGGCGATATACGTATGTATATGTTTCAGTTTGAAATTACCCTGCCGGTGAGTCCGTCGTTGGATGTAGTTGCATCGTCAACTCGCCGAGCTTGTTGAAGGCAGCTCCAGCCGCGGTGAAAATCTCACCGACCTGCAAGTACAACGAAAAGATATCGATGAAATGAAAAAAGAACTCGATCTTTCGTTTTTATCTTCGACGAGTATACGAAAGTAAGGAAAAATAAAATATTCTCCTTTCTTCGCGATGACTAATCGGTAACATAAACGTAAACATAACCTTTTGTCCACTCGCAGGCTCCATCGTTGTTGTTGGACAGACGGACAGAGAAAATGAGAGAGAGAGAGAGAGAGAGAGAGAGAGAGAGAGAGAGAGAGAGAGAGAGAGAGAGAGAGAGAGAAAGAGAGTGAGTGTGTGTGAGAGAGAGAGAGAAAAGGAGAGAGCGCGGAATGCACGTGACTCGGAGAGCGGTAGAAAAAGGAAGACGTAGAACGGTGGGGAGAGAGCGACCGTTAAACACTATGTGGCGGGAAAGTGCCTAAAATCATCGACTATGAGCGCCTTTTTTTCGCTTACCTTGCTCGCAGAGTTCATCTCACGATCAGTTTGTTGTTGCGCGCATACGCGTCACACTTGGTGGAAAGGAAAAAGCTCGTACGGTATTGCCATCTTGCGTCGCTCTCACGATCCTTTCCGTTAAACAATTGTAACTTTAATGCTCTTTTTGCCGGCCTACACCCCGACCAGACCCTGTAACGTACGCTTCGCCTACCTCCTCCTCTTCCTCCTATTAAAATATCCTCTCATGGTATCGATCGTTTCTTCCTTAATTACGGAGATTATTAAGACATCTTCTTTAAAAAAGTAATTTGTTTTATTTTATTTATAAACGCTTAATTATAATCAGTACGTTTACATATGAGATTGTACATTGTCATATGAAGGCATTGGCATTATTAGTTTCTCCGGAAAATCATAATTTTTCTTTCCCAATCGTTGGCAGAAGATACAATGACTTTTCGAAAATCGCATAGATCGGTCAAGATACGTTCTATTTGCTCCGACATGTCGCCGTTGCATTTCAATTTCTTTATCAGAGGGAAGTCTTCCAAGTTGGCCAATCGCAATCTCCTCGAAGCGTTTCTGTAACACTTCCAAGGTTGTGGCTCGACGACGATCGTATCGCAGATAGAACAAGCTTTGCGAAAGAACTCGACCAAGCCGTCGTCCCCGTGATTAAGGTGGATCCACATAGAGATGGAGAAACAAAAGACCGCGTCGAAGCGAGACCTACCGAGTTCCTCGAGATATCTCGAGATCGTCGAATCGCAATGGGACGTAAGAAATTCCAAGTGCTCGAAGGCGATCCGATCTGGACGAGGATTACCCTCGCGCGATCTCTCGACGAGAATCGGATCGAGATCTATACCGAGGACGAAGATGTCAGGTTTATCGCCCTCGGAATTCGTCGAATTAACGTTGAGAAAATCGTATAGCTCGTACGTAAGTTCCTGTTTAACACGAGAAAGATTTGTCTTTTTTTCTTATTTTTTCTTTTATACGTCGACGGAAAAAATCGAAAAGGAGGAAGGAAAAGAGAACTCGCGTGCCGATTTACGAACGCGAGTTTCCGACAGCTGTCTGCCCTTACCCCTGCATTACAGCCAATGTCTAGCCCCACGTATTTCCGGTCCGAACGAACAGACTGCCAGACGTCACGCGGAAGTTGCCGCACGCGCTCTTCCGCGCTATGAAATTGGTAGTAATTCATAAAGTTCCCGTATCTGCTCGCGCCCGGATCCGCCTTTATTTTCATCCTCTCCGTCCCCTCCGGATCTTTCGACATTTTACAAATTGTCCACGTTCGATCTGCCCTGTTCCTCGAGGATCTCTCTTTTCGATTAGAGAAATATTCTTTCTTTCACTTTTCCTTTTTTTTTTTTTTTTATTTGTCTCCAATCGTTGCATCAAAGAGATTACAGCAAATCGATTAGATATTTATGTTTTACAGTCGTCGATCAGTATGTGATCTCTAACGCAATTATGGAGGATTGTGAAACTTTCAAGAGAGAAATTTATGTTAACCGTCAACGATTTGTCACGACTCGTGACACGCATGGACCACGTGCACGTACGTATTATATATGTATATCTGCTACGAGCGTAGTTTCAAAGAGGTATGTCTATGCTTTTGCGACGAGATGCAATGAACGACGGAGACGGCCGCGCGTCTACGCTCGGAGTCAGCTATGCGCGTACTCGTTTACAACGGCTGCTCGATTCTTTCGACCGATAGAAAACAGTGCTGCCAAACGCGAGAGAGAGAAAGAGAGAATCGCGTTTCTCGCAGAGACTCTTGCGATGCTTTACGGACGATAATCGTATCGTCCTTAGAATTATAGAAATTACTCGAAGAGAAATTAACTGGCTCGTTACGAACCAACGAACGATCCTAAAAGAATTAATCGATGTCCGTTGCTAACTCGCATCGCGAACACGTTCCCGAGATATCTTTCCGTAATCTTTCAATCTTATCCTGATCCTAATCCAAAGAACGTCCAATTTTCTTATATACATATATATATATGTATATTTTTTTTTATCCCTTTACGTTCGAGCCCATTTCAGAATGTTTCATTCAATGGCGATAATCAAAGGTAAAACGAGTCGCGTGCCAGAAAGATCTCGGTGAGACTAAACATGAAGTAGACGGTGCTGTCATCTGATGGAAACGACGAGAAATTTTCACGATTGTCGAAGCAAAACGTTCAATAACACCAGATATTTATTGTCGCATTTACCTGTTTAAGTATGCATGCATTTGTTTCAGTCGATTTTTCTTTTTTTTTTCCTTCTCTCTTTTTTTTTTTTTTAAAGACCTATACACGCAACACAAAGATATCATATTTATTTCGACGAAGAAAGAGGGGGAGAAGGCGTCTGCTGAAAGAACAACGATGTCATTTTGATGAAGACAAAAGATCGAAGGATAGGATCCAAGGAAGCGAGACTCGTACGAAGAAACGTCCGCGACCCAGATAAACGTTAGCCTTCACGAACGTAGCTCGATCACGAGGAGAATAGGATGCGTTTGCGTTAGAAACGCGAAAAAAGTTTTCACTCTCTCTCTCTCTCTCTCTCTCTCTCTCTCTGGTCGTTCCTTTGCCTAGTCATCTCCTTCGTTCTAACGATCGGTCGAGGCTTATTAGTCATAAGCCCATCGATACACCGAGTTAGACGAATTAACTTTGTCATATCGAGTAGCACCTGATGACCCTGACTTCCTGTCGGACCAACCGATTGGGAGAAAAAAGAGAAAAAAGGAAGGAAGGAAGATAAAAAAAAAAATGATCGAGAAAAGTGGACTCGCGAAGGTCTTTCAATGACACACCTACAATTATGTAAAGCCCTCCTACGTAGCGCGTGTCGCAATAGTTCGCAAACAATACGACGATAGATTTGAGTACGTTCCTCCTACGTTTGCGAAACTCGACACGGTGTCGGTGCGATTCTCACCGAGAGAAGATTGCACGAGCGCAATAATGCAATTCGATAGGGAAAAGGATCAAGATTTATTGGGACATGTTGCACATTTTTTTTACATCGATATTATTCGTACCCGCCGAATTATATGAATGTTGTTTAGTTTGCGGAGAAACAAACGTAGGCCAAGATTTCGGACTTGTCCCTGAAAATAACTCCCGAGAGAGTGTGTCTAGGTTTAGAAAGGTCAGGTAAGGAAGTAGAAAATAGGTAGGCCTTTTTCAGGTACGGTCTGGGTGCGCCATAAGGTAATCAAACGAAAAGCGGAACGGCTAAAGCAGGATCGCCGTAGGCAGGCCAAAAAAGGTGGATACAAGAAGCACATGCACACAGGCAGGTGGAGCGTGTTCAGATATCTCGCGTTCGTAGAGCACAACGCTTCCTTGCATTCTCTTGGGCTTCTCTCGCGTCAATTTCCTTCTCCTTTTCGTTCTTGCCCGACGAGCAGATGCGCTCGTGAACGAAGGCATCTGCGCGAATGGCACGCATACTCGGCACGTACTCCGGAGATAACGAGAGAAGGATCGCGACGGTACAATTTTTTGCGGTAGAAGCCGAGTACAAGAGAAAAATATACCGATCGTATGCGAGTCGGGCAGCCTAACCGTGCAGACAAATATTGAATTTCGTTCGGCTTCTCTCTTTTCTTTTTCAAAGAATCTCTTTTCAAAGAATGGCTTTTAATGCACGTGAGTATTGCCAAATGCGCCGACCAAACCGGTTCCCCCCCCCCCCCCCTCCCCACGTTGATCTTTTGAAATATCTCGGAGGGAAAAAGGATAAAGCGATCGCGAGATTTTTTCCTGACGCATCGATCGGATTAAGCCAAGCGTTCGACCCAAGCTTAAGAGGATCCTTACCATGCCCATAATCCCAACGAGAGGATCCTTACGCAAGTGATATCTAAATGCAAAATGGTATCGTATCAAGGATCTCGTTAAAACTTAGAGATATTGTTCAATAATCGTCGAGTCGTCGTTATTAACCGTCTTTAGGCTAACGTGACACGTGACGTTATTGCATCTTTTAGACATTAATGCGTTGCGGATTCATATCGGTAATATGAATTATTGGTAAATTGGTATGACATTACTGATCGTATTATCTCGTAATCTGGTAAATCACGTTGTTCGTGGATATATCGAGCGGTAGAAGATGAACAGAGTCTAATCTCTATCGATCCCAATTTTTTATGCGCTCTAATGCCGAATGAACGAGAATGATAAAGGAAAGGTATTAGCACGCACGAGTTTACAATAATTTTGCCAATAGAAGGAAAAATGATAATCGCCGAGTCCGTAATTGTGCCGTATGAAGCAACCGTGTAGTCGTTATTGCCGCAACTCTACGACTTTTCGCTCTAGACTCGTTTTAGCTCTTGTTCAACGTTAAGAAGGATCGTCCAAATTCGTACGAAAATGTCTGAACAAAGGGGGAGGGGGGGTTACACGTACCACAAACCGTAAGGTCTCCACTATGATGCATAGATTCGTGAGTGGGACGATTAGTCAGCGCGAGTTGACATCATTCTCAATACACGTACGTATGTGCGCACGTGTATTATCCCGTGTAAATTGAAAAAGGGGAATTGGATGCCTTTATTGGGTACGTCTAACTCCATTGGGATTATTCGTAATGTTGCCGCGTACGGTTGCCACTGAGAAGTGTCTAATTTCTCAAGAATGTTCTTGCTCGGTTGTAACGTCTAAATATATAGGAACAAAATGTTTAGTAGGAACACACGAATTTAACAATAAGATAAGAGATCAGACGTTAGAAGGCGGAAGGATAAATATTTGTATGGCGCCGAGTCGGTCAATGGCACGAGGGGACAACTGGGAGAATCCTTTCCTCCATCCTTTTCTCTTCTCTTCCTTTATTTCCCTCTTTCTTCGAGCGGGGTTAGACCGATGAGACACGTCGATGCTTCATATGGTTACCATAATAGGTTAGCCTCGAACGTGGTCGATACATAACTCCGGAAGTTGGCCGTAAAGCCGATCGGTACATCCGGTTCATTGAATTCCCAACGTTTTCCAGAACCATGGAAAATCCCTTTTTTCCGGACTCGAGACTTTAGCGCGTCAACGTCATAGCTCGTTTAGACGAGGATCTTCCTTTGCCGACAAACGTATATAATTGAAAACGATCTCACGAGCGACGACACAAAGGAGAATTTCCGTCGCTCGTTGCTCGGCTTGCGGCTAAGCTCGGCTCGCTGGGATCGACGACTAGATCTCGCGACAAAAGAATTCTCCTACTGGCGCGTATCGTTCGTTGTAGCTGCCTATCCTATGTTCCTCGTCGAACCTTCGGGAATCCGAG